ACTGAAACTTGTCAATTTACAGTGTCCTGATGTTATCGATGTTACGGCATAAAAACTAATAATCAAGTTACTAATCCTGATGTGTCGAACCTAAAACATACGGTTTAATAAATGAAATAGAACTTTTATTCATTCTTTAAAGATTTACTATGCTATATTTTTTTAATTCACATTACTCGAATATTTTGGCAAGCGCTGCTGAAAATATTTTCTCTTGCCAACACTTTTTATTGGTAGACTAAGTGACTCTTATTGTGCGTCCATTACATAGACTGCATTGAGATTCAAACCAACTAAAAAAAAACTTTAATAGCTTTCAACACTTCTGATTTAGGTGATTTTAATAAATTATTCGTACAATGATTTCCAATATATGTTTGAAACTCAACGTTTTTTATGAAACTGAATTATTAATTTAATGTAGAGTCTAGAACAATTTTTTATTTGGAAAACGATTTTCGGAAATACTTTAAAATTTACAATCAATCTCTCTAAAAATATTCTTGAACTGTGACTCTTTCATGGTTTCATTCACCTAACACTCGTGCTTTTTACCACCATTCATAGCCGTAAATTCCTCCGTAAAAGACCGCCGTTAGGACGAGATTTTTTAAAAAGGAAACTCTAAAGAATCCAATAATTTAAAACATAAAAGTGTCCGCTCGTGTCCGTGTCAGCCAATAAATAAAATATCAGTGACAATCGTAGGGTCGCCGTGATAGAACAGGACCCTTTTGTGCGGCACATGTGCAGCTTTGGCCAGGTGCTGCTGGGACTCTGTATGTGTGGACTGGCCACTGGGCCCCGTGCGCAAATAGCGAGTTTTTCTGATTGCCCGGTGGCCTGTTATTTTTTTTTTCTCTGAAAAGCTGCACCGGATTCCGATGTACGTATCACATTATCGGGTCATTGAATGGATAAAGGATTAGGGGGTTGTGGCCAATTAGAAGACACCTTTCCATCTTTGAATACTGGGCATGTCAATCGTCAGTCATCTTTTTAAAACTTTGAATGTCAACATATTTCTAAGAAGGAATATGTAAACAAAGGTACATTCAGTGTGAAAAAATTAATTCTCAATTCAATACTAGTGGCATAAAAAAGTCATACCAGGACATTTCATTTATTTCTTATATTTGGTGTTGATCAAAATGGATCAACCAAGAATTAAACAGCTTCGTGAGATTTTAAACGGATTTTTAAGAGGAATTTAAACTGAGACTACAATAAAAGTCATTTTAATAAAATACCTGTTTTATCAACTCTAAAAAGAAAGAAATAGGTTGCGCAAATTTTCGGAGGAGTTGTTCTGCAAAATCTCAAGAAATTAAGCAATTGTCTTAGTTAACAGAGATAAAGCACATGACAAAACATAGTCAGATGTCGAAATTTCTGATGAGCACTCACTATAAAGGTATACTATTTGTAGGAACAAGTTAAAATTTAAAAAAAAAAAGTTGTTAAAAGGAAAAAGACAATAATAGTAAAAAACAAAGTAGAAGGAAAAATATATAAATTCGACAAAAATTATTTGAAACATCAATCCTGTTTATTAATTTCTACTTATGCAAAATGTATGCCATATTTTTTCGGTCATTTATCTTTAAAAACCCTTTAGGTGTAACATATGAGGTGTGCTGCTTACATTTTGGTAAAAATTTAAAAATTTATAATCTGTAAAGATTATACTTTTAAATAGTTGTATAATTTATTTAAGTTTGAGTTCTATCTTTATTTGCTCATTGCTAAGAAGATAGGACTTACAAGGAATAGTAGGTTAGGTGCCGAAGCTATAATGGCACTCTTCTCTAACGTGGTTTATATACATAGTATTTTTTCCACTACTAGCTACTACACCTTAAATTGTGTTTCAATAATTGACATGCAATTTCACGATATTTGAATAAATACTCTAAAAACGCTGATATCATTTCCAAGAATCAAGTGGGTAGGTAGGTACTCTTTTGTTTGAAATCAAACTTTGTGACATTTCATACAAATAAATTTGCAATTAATTTGACATTTCGCGAAAAGAAATTTGCAATTAATTTAATTTAAAGCTATAAATCATGGAAAGTGAAAGTGAAATGGGCTGCACACCCCCTTAAAAACGTGTTTCATAACCTCCACGTTCTGCGTGCTGTGGTTCTGTACTTCTATAACTGTCACGTGTCAAAATTATTAAATGTCATTTTCATTATTTACCTTGGTTAATAAATCAAGGTCATCATTATTCACCAAGGTCAAAAAGATAGAAATTTACGCGTCAAAGAGAGGTCGATAATGGTGGCCTTATAGGCTAGTAGTGGAAAAAAAGTATTATTCACTTTGTTTCATCCACATAATTTTTCTCACTAGATCCTCATCTTATCTGCATAATAAAATTGTATTTCATAGTGTTATTCCCAATGTCAACATCAGATCAAAATGTTTACTGAGCCCTTACAACATAAAATTTTTCAAAAGAGGCTTTAATTTAATATATTTATAAATTGAACATTAACAATCTCACTTAGGACAAGATTATCTGGATATACTAAATTTAAAAAATATTTTAAGACAATTTTATTCTCTTTATAGAAATAATGAGTTTTAATCTATTTGCCGTGACTATATTTAGATATTAGTCTTTGTCAAAGCCGATGTAAGAACAACAAAAATAAAAGCTATTCCTTTGTAAGATTACATAATCCAATGATTTCAATATTTCAGGTATGTGATGAAATCACGAACTTATAGTAACATAACCTAAACCGTCCAAAAAAAGATGCACTTGTTTAAAGGGTGCAAAATCCCCACACGTTATAGATTCACCTGTAACCAAAAAACCTCCCCTAAAAAAAACTTTGACCCCTGTCGTAACTCAATTATCTACTCGACCAAAAAAACCGACCGCTACGAAACAAATTAAAAAACATCCCATTACCTCCGCGTGTCTGTAGATGAGCCCCTCTATAAAAAATACCCTCCCCTCCAGTAACGTCTCCCTCTTAATATATCACCGTCTGGGGTGAAGTCACCCCAGTGTATATTTTTTTTGTTTGAATCAGCATTTTTGCGTCCCCTGCGTAAAAATGCAGTCGGGCACGCTTAAGGCACGTCCCATTTCCTATTTTTAGCTTCCCTTTTTGTATATGGTTTTTCGAATGTTCGTATGTAGAATAGAAAATGGCAGTCTTACTTGAAATGTTATTTTTAGGGCCTAAAATTAGTAAGTTTCGAATAGTTTAAATTTCTATTTCGTATTCAGTTGAATATTCTAAATACACGCTGATTTTTGCAAAAAAAAAAAAAACAAATATGGCACAATATCTGATCAAGAATATACAAGTGCCCCGTGTACACAGAACTACCACATTTTTTGAGATAAAAAAAAATTAACTAAATTTACGTCTATCTAAAATTGTTTTGTTTAGCCGTCAAATTTGGCAAAAAAATACAAAATAACTCTAAAACGCTTTGTTTGATTTAAATAAAATTTGGTATACTTTTGCATGGATGACAATTTTTGATGTAGTAACCAGTTACATAAATGGGAAAAACCTATTTTTTTTTTCGTGAGTGACCTTACAACTTTAGTTCAGTTTTGTCTTCAAGTTTTTTCTTTCTTTTTAATGTTTTGTACATTTAATTGGTTTCGCGAATTTAATTATTTTGTTAGTCACCATTTTCAGTTCAGTCAAAATTGTCATAATTTTTTTTATTTCTTAACAAAAGTTAAATAAGACTTTATGATGTTTAGAAACTTGTAATCTAATGTTCTTTCATGAAAATTATTGTCAATGACCATTATTTTCAACAATGTACTTCACTAAAAAAAAAAAAATTATCGTACTCATTTTAAATTTTCTACATTCTGAAAATTGCGAATACGAATCATGGAAATAATTCAATTTAAAACTTAAAATAAGATTAATAACAAAAATTAATATTTCTGACATGAGTACAATTATCTATTAAGTAATTAATTAATTAGTTTATTTACTTAATTATTTATTTATATTTATTTATTTAATTATGTATCTTGTCTAAATTGCATGTTACTAAAATGATAATAATCCAATAATGTTTATAAAAATACACTATATTAAAGGTTCCTGAACTCCATAAAGTAGTACCTATATTTATGATTAAAATAATTATTTACGTGAAAATCGTTTTTCCGAAATTTACAAAAGTTGAGAAATAGAAAATCTTTTTGAAATAGTAACCGAAGTTGTGGTAACTCCCGAATAAAATATGAGAAAATGTTATTAAACATGGTCATATTTACCACAGTTTTGTAAATGCAGTGATTTTGATTATGATGTCAAAAAGTTCCAGTTCCAATTTAAAATTTTAAAAAATGTCAACGCCCCAAGCGGCTGAACGAAGCAACTTTTGATAGGTACATTTAGTTAACTTCAAGAATACGTGATAATTCAATATGTACGTAGTATTGAGACACCCTGTATGGACAATGTAGGAAAATATTAAATTTTATTCTATATTCATCTTCATATATTTACAATATTTTAAAATAAACAAACAATTTTATAACTTCATCAATTAAACAAAATGCAATAATCTTTTTTTCTGTTTCTGACTAAGGAACATTCAACTCTTTAATTTTATTTTCACAATTGACTTTTAAAAAATATGAAAAAAATGTGAAAATACTGAAAATTGCAATGGAATGTATTTTGAACAGAAAATTAATACATACATGACTCATAATACTCTGAAAAGTTCATTTTAAAATTTGTACATACAAGAGTTCATGTAAATCACTTAAAGGTATATACTCATCTTCAAAAAATATATATTTACTATTACAGTGTGTTCCAATATTCCGTGTACATAGACTATAGCGATTTAACTAAACTTAGCTCTATCAAAAGTTGCTTTTCCAAATAGCTTATAAAAAGCTTTGTCTAATTTTAATTGAATTTCGTGCGCTGGTACTTGTATCTAGACGTTACTTTTTGACATAGTAAATAATTGCTTCTTGTTTTTTGCAGGTGACTTCAATGATGATGAACTTAAATAACTATCTCTTCGTAACATAAAGGTAAGAAATTTTTGAGTTTTCTGTTCGTTGTAAATATATAAATATTCCTGAAAGTTTCCCTTAATTTATTTTTTATGAATCATCACGAACGAATTTTTTATACTACTTTTTTTTTATACTACTTATACAAATCTGATTCAGTTGTTTTTATCAAATGTATTTCGTTTGATTATAAGAAGGAAGTAATGGTTTGTAACTTGTAAGGTCTAGTAACAGAGACATAATCGAAATGTTCTTTGGCGAAAATGACGGTCATCACTACCATAAAAAAAGTAAAAGCATTATTTTCAGATTTTTTCTCAGTTTACAAATTACGAATCGAATTCATCTAATTTAATATTCCAGAGCACGAATAATCATGGGTCATGGGATTTGATAATCACAATTTACAGAATGGGGGAAATCAGAATTATTATTTTTTATCTATTAATATTGCCAGAAGCAACTACTTTGCGAGCTGTCTGGCCTGACCAGCATTGAATTATACCTATCTAAACATCTAGGATCGTTGGTCAATCAAACCACCAGACATATACTTGATTCAAATGACGAATAATTCTAGTTATTTACTAAATATTACAGATATATGTAATTCAATGCTTTATTGCAGTTTTTTGTGTTCCACAAAGCATTATTTCGTTTGTAAAAAATAAGTACTGGGAATTTATACTCAAGGTCAGTAAGATAGGAATTTATTTAAATAGATCACAGCATATACAATCGTGTAGCGTTATTGCAACTTAATACCTTTTTATTGTCAAAGGGAAGACGTTTCGAGTATGCCACACATATAAAAAACCCAGCCACCCCCGATGTTTACGCCTGTCTTGTCCCTAATATTAAAGGCACGTAGCTTTCTTATATTTAGACGGGGCAGATCGATATTTGCGACGTTTGTCAAATATTCTTTCGGAAAATTTCATGCAAGTCATACTTCGAGGACCAGAAAAAACGCCTTCTTGAATGAGCCTTTTAGAATCGACTTAAAAGCGAGTTTTTAAGAAGAGGTTCGCAAAATATTAAGGAGTATTTGTTGTTGACTGCGAAAGATGTATTACCTGGACGGTTTTTTGAAGATGACTGATTATCGATTTCGAGTAACAGATGTGACTTTTCATTTTTGTGTATTTTTGAGAACGGCGGCAGCCGCACGGTTTTTTATTGTGGATTGATGTTTTCTGTATTAAATTATCGTTTGTAGGAGACGGTTCCGAACAATAGGGGTTATACTTTGTAAAGAGGAGATATTAGAATTTAAATCAAACTGTAGAAGTTTCTGCATAACTGTATGTTGTACTACAGATATGGAAAATTCACGAATCTGTCAGCAATACGAATAAGTTAACTATCATTTAGGTACTCATATATTTACTTTTACGCTATTTTGGGGTTAATATTACACGAAGAATTACTTTTGTAATCCAAATCCGAATTTATTAGGAATTTCTGTGTTCTACAAGAGAATCCGTTTTTTTTTGCCGGTAAAATAAGTCACATGTGGTCTTTTCAACTATAATAACGGTAGCCCTAACCCTAAGTAGCCCTAGACAGGCCACCACCTGCCCATGGGTGCTGACCATTAGGCATTAGGCTTTTGTATTATGGAAGTGGACACGTTGGAAAAAGTTAAAAAGTGTAAGAAGTGTAGGTCAGATTTCTTTGTAAGTATCGGTAACAATGTATATGGTTAATTTGAAGGAAAGATTGTACTCTACAGACATGTTAAGAAATTTGTAAAAAAATATTTAAAGGCATTGTTTATTATAATATTTATGTGATATATAAAAAATCACCAATTTAGTTGTCTTGCCGTAAAAAATAAAAAGATACTGTCATTGTTTATATTCATTACTGACATGCTTTAATTACTTTTGTGCAAATTTATTGCATTTATTAAAAAATAAATATTCAATAAAAAGTTGATAATTTTGATTTTTCATAACCAATAACCGAGCAGAAAATCCAATTTTAAAAATAAAGTAATAATTTAAAAGTAAAGTCTCTTTTGATCGCCTAGAAGTCTGGATGTGAATTCAGTGGATTTTTATTAATTATCAATTGTTAAGCAAATAGATATTTTTTTCTACAGGGTGTCCCACTAGGGTCGGCAAGGTGCGATATTAGGCCCTAGAACTTCGGAAAAAAAATTTTGTTGAATAAATCGACTAAGAGAAATCGTTGGAAATAGTTTTTAAGTTCCTAGCTCGGCCGCTAGGAAGCGCAATCTACATACCAAAATATAGAATTGAATTTTTCTCAGAAAGTTTTTCTCACACAATCGTGCAACACACTGTATATTATGTATAGACAGCCTTGGAATTATTATTTTTTTTAATAATCTTTTTATTTTTTGCCATAGGCATATAACTATACTTAATCTTTTCCATTTATTTCTGTTTGTATTTCAAAACATCAAAAGTAATTATTATTTCAAACAGAATAAATTAATATAAACATACATATGCTTTTAACCTTTTCCATATATTTTTGTTTGCCTTTACTCTATTATAAATAGTCATTCTCCAATTACGTTTAGTATTAGGTAATCGTAACTTATTTTCAACCTGTAAAACGCGGTAAAAAACACTTGCATTCCCGCAAACGCCAACCTGTTTCCAACATAAAAAACCTCCCCTTGTAAAAAACACATCCACTTGTTGGGGGTTTCCCATGACCTTCTTAAAAATAGTTTTTCTACAATGCAGATGTGCTCAAAATACCTCCACGTGTACCGCACGAACACAATGAAATTCCCCATTCGACCCCTATATGTAAATTATAAAAATGTATAAAACGCACCCCATTTTTTTGAAATCTGCGTTTTACTTCCCCCTTGTCGATAGTGAGACGCGCACGCTTACGGCACGTCCCATTTTTATTTCCGTTTTTATGTATTTTCGGTAGAAGAGAGAAGAGGAACGGTGGGGTGCCCTTTTTTGTATTTTTCTGCTTCATACGAAATGTTTAGAAAATGGACGTATTGTGTTGACAACCGACTGAAAGAGGGGTTGATTCGATCGTTTAAGTGTATATTGTCGCGTTAGCACTTTTCTGTTTTTCCGTGTGAAAAAAATGAAATAGTTACATTTATTTAGCATTAAGTATTGTCATAAATTTCATCGATAAATATTATCGTTGCTTTTTTAACCGCATAATTTAATCATAATCGTTCTAACCTTGATTTCGCGAAGCGTAGATATAATACGAGTATTATAAAATCCAGTTGTATTTTGTAAACGTGGATTTCATTTCTAGAAAAATATGGTTAATATCTGCAACATTTATGTAGAGTAGTTTCAAAATATCATGAGCCGCGAAATGCGCGAAAGGCGTGTAGTATCCATATTACAACCAGAAATGAACTAAGGCGCTCGGGCATCAATAAAGTCAACTGGCGAACGTTCGTTATATATATTTTTACTGCTTAAATTAAAATAATAAAGAGTAGGGCATTTTATTATATTTGTACTCGGAGCAAAGGCTTGTTTACGCTACGAGAGCTCGAGATAGACTGTGAATAATGGATTTAATGTTTTTAGGACGTAGAATAATTTAGGCGACGGTCGGAATTATGTTTCTGCGCATATGAAGGTCGAAGCTCATAAGATTTTGAAACAACTCCTAACAATTAATCATATCATCAATCATCATCGTCAATGTTTAATAGTTTAATATACTTATTTTCTTCATAAAGTTTAGTACAATATTCATTCATCATTCATTTCATATATATTATAATTGACTGTTAATTTACCTGATGTTGAACTGTTTAATTTTTAATAATAATTTATTTAATTCCAACTTCATAAGTAATGTCTGCAAAATATTACTCAGTTCCAAATACAATGATTTAAAATTATTTACTGCATAAGTACAAATGTGTCTATGATACTGATTTAACAACTATTTGTTTAATTATATACATGTTTTAAGAATTAGATTATTTCGTCACAGTTTTAATTCGATTTGTAAGAAACGCAGAATTGCTAATATTGAGTTGCACTGCACCATTGCGCAAATTTATAGGCCACCAACCATACAGACAGAGTGTATTATATGTCTTGTGGACAGAGCCTTGCTTTCAAATCGTTTCACATTTATATCACATAATGTGATTTATATCATTTGCGTATAGAGCCGTATTCTTTTATGCATCATTTTGATGTGATGGATCCCAATATTGCATTATTATTGACTCTGTTTAAGAGTTATAATCTCTGATAGGCTGTACATAATTCATCTCAATCATCTCATGTAGCAGAGGGACAATGTTCGCGTATCCGCATATAAAAATAAATTATTTTGCGGTGAGTTAGCTATTTACCAATGTATTCAAGGTGATTTTTACATTTATTTCTTTCCTTGTTCAATTAATCGATACGAAGTAAATAGCTATAAAGTTAAATGTGCTATGAAAATAGCACATGCAAATAGCAAAATATTGACAAAATTTGTCAATGTACTTACTCCCTGTTAATACTAATGGAAATTATTTATAGTTTTTACCGCTAGGGTCGCTAGTGTTCCTTGTACACTGACATATTTTCATTATTTATTGATTTACTTATCTAATTCAAAGTAGCTTACATTATTTATTTTAAAAATTTTAACACGTCACAAAAACGACGTGATTGATTTTTAATTCAAACTGCCGCTTTCTTTATCTGCCCTCCAGTATTTCGGTGTATATTGGACACTAGCGCCCTCTAATGACTGACTGGTGACTGGTATCATGGAGACTATCCCTGATACAGAGATATGGAGTAGGGAGAATGAGAGTCAAGATGCGCAAACTTGTTAATAAAGGAGGTCGCCATTTTGAAGTCTTAGATACGAGGGGGTACTATATTACATTACCAGGTCAGTTCTAAAAGTTCAAATTAGAAACGCACATAACTTTACATTAAATTTTGAAATGAAATATGAANGTTCCCACCGTTTCAAATGTTTGGCCAGCTAAGTTCTAAATGTGTCTTCACTGAATATGTCGAAAGAATTAGTTGGATGCACATTTCAAACAGTTCGGAACCAATTCCTGACTCATGTTGGAACAGACCTATCATGGAGACTATCCCTGATATCAGTGTTCCCAAAATATCATTTAACAACATTTTCTTCTTCCTCTTCTGACAATTGTCTCTCTGACTTTACATAGATGTGACGACATAAAGTGAAGGTAAAATGACAACATAACCTAAATTTAGGCATTTCTAATTTTAGAAGTGTCAAAGTCATAGTGTACAAATTTTGTATTGTAAAAATCTATGAAATTATTTTTCGTGTTACTTAGTAAATATATTTAAAATGTCTAAAGATTCCCATATCGACCGAGACTTAGACTTATCTAATGCTAACAGAGGTGTTTGGTTAGTAAAAGTGCCTAAATATGTTGCTGAAAGATGGGAGAAAGCTCCCAGTGATATGGAAGTAGGCAAACTGAAAATTACCAAGTAAGTAATAATTCTACCGCTTGTATAGACCAAGGCAATTTATGCGAATTTTTCAAATGCTACTGGGAACATCCTTATAGACCCCATGGACAAAAGGCCCAAGTGTCTCTCACCTTGTCTTCAGCCATTTTAAATTTAAACGAGCCAGGCCAAGAAAGTATACCAAAGGATCATAGATTGGATGTATCCACAGTTACTCAACAAACTCTAGGAGTATTCTCTCACGTTGTTCGTAAGTTTGTCGTTGCAAAACTAAATCGACATAGAATTATTAATAAGCCCTTTTTTGCCAGAGGTAGTTAGAGATTTTTCTTTCTTTAGCTACAAACACAGACGCTGTGATACCAGAAACAGAAAAACTATATATGGAAGGCAAAATTGTACAAAAGTTAGAATGCAGACCATACGCAGATAACTGCTACATGAAATTGAAGCTAGAATCTATCAGAAAAGCTTCTCTTCCCACACGACAAGTTAAACAACTTGACAGAGTTGTACAATCATATAAACCTGTTTCTGACCATAAAAATAATGTACGTAAAATATTTATAAAGTTAGGGGATCATTTTTTTAATTGTTTTACTTTCAGATTGAATACATGGAAAAAAAGAAAGCGGAAGGCAAGAAGGCTCGTGAAGATAAAGATGCAGTACTCGAAATGCTTTTCGCAGCTTTCGAGAAGCATCAGTACTACAATATCAAAGATCTCGTGAAAATCACGAAGCAACCCATAACTTACCTGAAAGACATTTTGAAAGAGGTGTGCAATTATAATTTGAAAAATCCACATAAAAATATGTGGGAATTAAAACCAGAGTATAGGCATTATAAGCAGGAAGCCGCTGAAACTGTGACAAAAAAAGAAGAGTCCGATGACGATGATTGATAAAAATATTAATATTCTGTCTTTGTGCATTTATATGTGATGTTTTCCTTCAGTGGTGTTCTTGAATTTCTATTTATTAGATAAGGTCTTATAAAATTATACCATATTAGTTTAATAAATTTTTAATCGAATTATGATTTGTCTGCAAAATGTATTTACTTCTACGTACCTTTGCAATTAGGCAACTCATAGTTAGTTAAACTGGGTCACCTCAAAATGCTGATAAATGAAAAAAATTGCAAAATGTTTACTCAACTTATATTATAAAGTATATATACACACAAATTATTAATGAAAACGTCTAAATGTTATAAATTTTAATATCTTAAATTCGTTGAAATTTTTCCATTACTTACATTATTTAGATAGTATTATTCTACAAATATATTAATAAAAAATTACATTTCTATAAAAATATTTAAATTATTTTGAAGATCACGATTTGCAATAAACAATCAATAAAAAATAGCCTTACTTTGAACCATAATTTGCATATCTTTCATTTAAATAATTTAAAAAATAGAATATTTTTCCATATTAAATACTTTACATTTAACATAAGTTATAAAATATATTTTAAAATAGAATTCAAGTTTCTCTCTCGAACATTACGTATAAAAAAATTATAGAAATATATACAGAGAGACATCTCACTTAGCTTTGCTCGGACTTCAAGTATGTATCGATATGTATTTTTGCTTTTCCTCAAATTAAATGCAAATACTGACATAATTGTAATGTTAAAATTAATTTCTTATGGAGCAATATATTTAATTTGCTACCAGACAATTTAACTGTTTTCAATTACATATGTATTGAAAACAACAAAAAATTGCAATAGAATTTAGCTTCATATATAAAATGATTTAATATATTTTAATCGATACAATATTTTTTAAAAATACACAGCCGATAGTGGCATATCAGATTCCTAAGAGATTACATTAATTGTGGAATTACATATCGTCAGTCATATATTTTATTTTCGGGTTCACTTTTAAAATCACGGTGAAAATCGGGTTCACTTTTAAAATATTTTCGTTTCCATTAATGAAGCATGAAACAAATTAAATGTTTCTGTAACTTAGACTTCTTTTTTAAATCTTATTTCAAAAATCTAAGCTATAAAAGCAACATGAATGAAAAAGCATAAAAAACAAAATTATTTCTTTTAAAGAACGTGAACCCTAAAAGATTTTTGAAATTAAATGCGAGATCTGCCATAACCACCACTTTTAACATCAAACAATTTTCTGACAAAATACACCTGAACAGCAGTTGTAACAACGATCACCAAAATTTGTATAATAGACCACCGAACCACATACGAATTATTATCTTGTAACAAGTTAAAATCCCAAGCTTCCCTTCCTCGTGAATGATGCTGGTACTGCAACATTTCATTAATGTTCCTCTCTGCACCGACAATAGTAGATGTAAAGTTCTCCATATTCATATTCAACTCGTCTATTTCCTTGGTATATTTCTCCCACATATCGTATCGGACCACCGTAATGTATATGTTCACCAATTTGGCAGCAAATCGAGAGAACTGATTGTCTATGCATACTGAATAGTAACCACCTGGCGAAGTTTGATCCTGATATTCACTGTTTGATTTCCACTGATAGGGGTGCACAATTTGACCAGAAGGATGTCGAACTGCAAAACCAGCCATGCCATCTCCACCCCGAACCACTTGAAAACTAACATAAAATGTTGCCCCCGGGTTCACATATTGAAAGTAACAGTCCTCTTTTCCGGGATCTATGTGTACTTTATAGTCCATTGCAACAGCTGGAAGATTTTCATACCATGGCACCGTTGGTTGACTCTCCAAATTTGTTATTAAAAAACCGAAAATAATAAAACATATTTGGAAGCGCAGTAACGTGGCAGCTCCCTGCACCATTTTTTTGAACGTCTGGTAATAATTAGTTCTTCAGGTTACTACTAAACAAAGTAACTAGAACAGTGGTTACTTTCTAATTTTGACTTCAGGGACATTTTACCGTATACCTACTTATACTTATTCATCCGCAACATTTTTTAAGCTGCTTTACTACACAAAACATCTTATAATTTATGCTTTGCGCCACAAAACATATAATACATTTTGCGCCTTACTAATGGCGATAAGCATCTACAAATATTTTGAAGATTTTGTGGTAATGTATGGTTTGATGAGATTGACACTGACAGACACATTTTGAATTGCAAATGCAGTTATTTTTCGAAATTTATTTTAATTATATGTATTAGTAAAATTATATTCAATTTAGTATCAGCAATTAAAATAAAATTGGTTAGATATACAGGGCAGACAGACAAATAAAATAATGATCAATTATATATATTTTCAGTCTAAAGTTTATGCTTTGTGATAAGAAGATATTTATATTCATAATCTTAAGATGTTGGCAAGTAAATGCCCTATTTTAATCACACTTGAGACCCGAGATCTCTCTAGTGTTCTGTTAATTTCCCTTAATTGACCAATCCGCATTCAAAATAACAGATTAGCTGAGACCTCGGGTAAATAAAACATAGCTGTTGGAAACCCTTTTATTTTAATGAAATCTCAGTTAACAGCACCTTATTGACCAATGGTTATTCGGATCAGAATAACTAAGATTAGCTGACTAGCTGAGATCTCAGGTAAATAAAACACGGCTATTAATAAATTGCTATGTTCACATTATAAATCCAGATCCTGACCCAAGGATTTTCTTGTATAAAATCCTTGATCCTGACCTGATACCCCTAAATAAATGATACTGCTGATACCCCTCCTCAGTCTTTATTCTAACTGTGATTCTAACCTAACAACTTGTCGTCCGAAATAAGTATCATTTGTGTAAAAAATTGCTGTCTCTTTATTGGACTTAACATAAATTACAATACGAAAGTTCGATAGTAAATACCGAATTCGATAGTGATAAAAGCACTCATTTAATACTTCACTACATTCAATATTTAAATGCTTCATAATGGCAGTATTAGATTTTTATATAAATTAATTCTTGATTCCAACAAGGGCAACGTAATGGAATATATGAGTAAACTTTAGTAAATTCCTAATTGTACCACAAATATTCGTGACGTTATTATTAAAAACCAAAAATATGCTGCGCCGCAAAAAATAGCTTGTGTATTAAAATATTCAAAGTTGGCTACTCTGACTCTGCAAATTTGTAATTGTAACGGTTTTGTTTTGATGTGCAGCTGTTTATAATTTAAATTCTGTTTGATTTTTGATTCCGTTAATCAGTTTTTAGTATTTTACTTCCAATACCGTTGTTTCTTGTGAGAATTCAGTTAAAATAGTTTATGTAGTAGGTGGTAGTTAGTATATTAAAAAAATGGGACTAGCTTCAAGCAAAGTCTGTAAACAACTTTCCCAAAAAGATCTGCAGGAAGGTAGTATTCCTTCTACTCCAATTTTGACACCAAAAGTATTGAAACAGGAAGATTTAGATCCTAGATCCCCTAGTTTGCATATTTCTCGCACTCCATTGCAGGTATTAAAAAAACAATACATAGTTATTTTATGATAATAATATGAAATATGTTACAGTTGCTCTCAGCTGCCAATTTAAAAGTGGATGAATTAAAAGAAACTGAATTTACTGCAGTTGCAGACGAAACTTCCGCAAAATCAAAGATAGTCCTACTTGGAATAGATCCTCGCTCTCCAACAGTAGAATTTCAAAGAACTCCTATTATTATTAACGTGTCTGAAGCAGACAGTGCTGGAAAATTTCACAACAAAAACCTGGATAGAGTTAAACAATCTGTTATTATTACTACCCCAAAATCTACTACTAAGCAAATATCAACTAATATACCACCGAAGTTATTAGAAAGTAGTCCTGTTAAGGCAAAATCTGATGCAATCAAAAGAAAATCATTTGTGGGTTTGCTAGAAACTAACATCGATTATACGGAAACAGATCTTGACGCAGTGATAAGAGAAAAAAATAAAGCCAAAGAAATACAGTACGATGTAAAGGAACATGCAACACCCAACCACAAACAGCTTGTTACCATAGTTGAGAAAGAAAATATAGATCCGCGTTCTCCTACAAATGATTTCCTCAGAACACCAATCCAAATTATAAAGAAGGTTGCTGATTTAAATTTAATTGATGTTGTTGATTCTGAAAGAGAGTCTGGATGTATTGGAAAGGAATACAAACAAAATGAAATCGCTGAGGAATTAGAAGATCATAATATAATAAAAAAATGTGTTCAAGAGATTTGTGAGAGTGTTCATTTAAACAGTGAATTAGAATCTACGGAAAAGCATACTGACATTTTGGAAAAAGTTGAACCAGTTGCAATGCCTCAAATCAACATTCAAACTGAAGTTAATAAAGATGCGAAAGAAATTGAAAGTGACGACACAGATACAACAGGAACCCCAGTGAAAATAAAATCAGCTCCAATTACGCCTCCCACAGGTGAAGTGAATCTAATGTCACCGGGGAAAGCAGTAAAAGCAACAAAATCTGCACCTGTTACGCCTCCAGCAGTAAATCTTGCAGCTGACGTTAAAGAATTTGATAAAAAACTTACAAGCTTGATTTATCGTGATGAAGACATTGTCATATGCCCCAGAAAGGTGAAACTAAAGGACTATGATACCCGTTCTCCCTTAAGAAACATTAACTGCAATGAACCAGAGAAAAAGAAGTCTTCTCAGAAACTGAAGGTGAAAGACAAGAAGTCTGAGTACGCGGTAAGTAAAATTCCCGTCTTTAAAGAGACTGGTAGGAAGACTGAAATACAGTGTGAAAATACGCCACCGAGAAATATGGAGAAAAGAAAGGTTAAAGTAAGGAAATCGCATTGGGATAACGCGGATGCAACTTTAATTATATAATTTAATGTTGTGGCTTTCAGTACCTGGCTGATTTGTAGTTGTTATTTAGTTTGTTGGTAACATAAGTTCGCAGATGAGATATCGAATTTTGTGAAGGGAAAAGTAATCTTATCTGCCTACATAATATAATATACCCCGGTATTGTCAATATTTATTAAGTTCATTAATCCCCAATACCTGACTGATGTACATTTTGAAATAAAATGCTTTACATAAACTTTTACTTTTGGTAAATATGCATTAAAATGATATTCGATCGCATAATCATCAGAACATAATAATGTCACAGCATAGCCCAAGTTTTTAATTACCAAAGAAATAATCGTATACATAATAGTTTTCTTTACTAATTGTTTAAATAGAAACTAAATTTTTTATGATTAATAATCTCCTTGATGCTTTGTAAACTATAGTTTTAACATATCTGCATAAACCAGTAAAAACTTAGCAACTGAAATGTTTTTTATTTAACCATTGAAGTAAATTTCAATAATAACTAGGAGTTGCACATTTTACTATATGTATTCAACCAGTTTCATCTTGCCGATAAAACGTGCAAATGTGAGAATGCCAAGTGCATAAAAAATATTAAACAAATTTTTAATAAATTGCCTCATTGCCATCATTTTGTTGTTAATTCTCTGCTTTAAGCATTTAAAATTTCATTTGATGTGGGCTTTACTTTTATGAGTGCCGAAACGAAATGAGCTCTCAGATGTTACAAGTTGAACTATACTTGGTCAAATTTTAAAAAGTTCAAGAGACATCAATTTTATAAAATACGCTATCAGATCAGTAAGAGTAAGAACTGACTTTGCCCAGAAATTTTGACGTCTGTAGGCTGTCGGTCAATAAAATGTATCCAATAGATAATAGTACCAAGTCAGTAAAATGATTTTTTTATTGAAGGAGTCTGAGATTATGAGCCGAGTGAGCGAGGCGAATTCAATAAGAACAATTTACTGACGTGTATATAAAATTTTATTGCCAACCATAAATATTTATAATTTAAAAAAATGGAGATATTAAACCTTATCACATTTTATTATGACAAAGTAAACAGAAAAATAACAGCAAATACAAAACAAATCTACTTATTTTTTGTTAAATAGGTGTTAAACATGAACGTACACCTTGATGCATTATAAAAATCAATTCCTGAAGTTACGGAGTTTCAATTGAAAAATGTTAGAAATCTATGTTAACAATTTGTAAATCTTTAGTAAAATTATTATTAGTAATAAATATGTTCTCAGTTTGACCTTCATCTAAAATCGTCTTTGCAATTTTCATTTTGTTGAGCACAGACTCTTCAACATAGGATTCTGCAATTGTGTCGCTTTTCCACTTCCTGTAATGTTTTAAATTTTCCTTACTGCCGCCTGCATCGTCAAAGATGGTGGATATGCGATGAAAACAATGTCCCGTATAAAGTGATGGTTCTGGCAAATGCAGATAGTTAGCAGTTTTGCTTGGTATACTTACAAAAGTATGGATTCCAACTGGCTGGACTGTGCATTTACCATTTCTATAAGAAGAAATTGGTCGTGGGGCATCTGTTTAGGATGCAGAGCTAAATATTTGTTAAACAATTCTACAGATTTTACTTTTCCTTCAAACTGAAGTGATCACAAATATTGGAGGTCTGTTGGTTTGTTTTAATTACATGAACAACCAGAATTGTTTCTTTCTGCTCTATGTTACTTACTTTTAAACACAAAAGTTCTTCAATCTTCACTACGTAAAGCCCCAGCAGTGCCAAACAAAGTTAGCATAAATTACCTTCATCATTAAATTGATTTTATCCGGTGCATTTAATAAATATTTAAGTACATATTTCTTCTTGTGAAAGAATATTGGACTCTTTTGGAATACGATTTCTTCCTTTTTGTTTTAAAAAAGTCATCAGTTTTTTATATTTACCAATGACAATGTTAATTTTTGTAGAAAGGGTTGCTTTCACCAAGGAATAATCACATTGAAGAAGAAAACCCTTTCGATAACTCGAAAAAATTTGCGAGTACTTAAAATTTTCACAATATTTTTTAATTCTGTTTCTTGCATCATTTCATGAATATGGATACTGGCGATTGTATTTTTCGACTGATATTTGCAGTAGAATTTTGAAACACATTTTTAACGACTATCCGAATTTCAGGCGACGTGCACTGAATGTCCTCTTTAATCATTTTCTATAAATAATTCGTAACAAAACTTACTGTTGGGGCAGTGACAGTGTCAAACGATTTCTGATTAATGTCAGATAAAATGCTTGATTTTTACAGTAAAATAAAATGTTTACTTCCGAAAATCACTATGATAATGCAAGGCTTCATTGACGATTGGCGATAAAAATAAAAAATATTCTAGTACCGAAAACAAACCAGTCATAAAAAGTAAACATTCCAATAAAACCTCAGAATGTATTCATCTTTTTATTTACGATACTTCCCCTTAAAATTTGAAAACGAGAAAAACCCTGTCGCATTTTATCTTTTGTCACATACACTGTTGTACCAGTTGTGTTTTGCTCGAAACTGCAATTGTGTCTCATCCTTGATACATAAACGACTCAACAGGTCTTAGTACATATATGTATTATGTATCTACATAAATATTATTAGGGGCTAAAGAGCAGAATGAAACATTACATTATTTCACCTCTTCCACCAGCCCTGGTAATCATAAGATAATCACACTACAAATAAGGATCACAACTGGAAAATTGAGCACATTTATTCCGATACAACATTAAATATCTAATTTTAGGAATTGATATTTTCATTAATAGGTTTACAACACTGACTAGGAGGTACACTCCAATTATATATGTAATAACTTCTCTTATCAACCTCTTCCGAGCATAAAGTCTTATGCTGAACATAATTATTGTAAATTTTTCTCATTTCTTGTTGAGACAAGTTATGAATTATCAAATGGGTATTTCGACATGATCTCGAAATCCACTCTGTGTCGAATCTAATATCATGAATTCGAAGAATATTGTTTATGGGTGCTAGCCAGAAACCAACACTCACATCTTCCGAATTAAATGATCTAAAATTTAAAATAAACCTTAGGGAATTAATTGATTATATCAAATATTCACCATTTTACCTTAAATCTTCTGTGTTTTTGGCAACGTAACTTATTAAATTCTTAGATAAAATATAGCCTCCACCCAATGCGTAAGGTGTATATCTATCGGAAGCAATCCAATCATTCTCTTTCCACTTTCCTTTTGTTTTTATCTTGGCAGACCCTGAAAAGTAGCCCCAATAGACACTGAGATATTTTCCTTTAATTTCTTTATCATTGACTTGCATACTTGTTGATAAATAAGGATTATTTTGTTCTGATTTCGGTTTAAATGGGTACTTAAGGTCCGAGTTAAGATACGAATTTTCTATGGCAATTATTTCTTGGGGTAACATTAATAAATTCACATAGCTATCATCATCGCACTTTAGCACATATTTGAAATTTAATCCATAATCATACTGATCATTTAACCATACAAAACTTCTTTTAATTTTTTCTGTTAGAGTTTTGTAAGTGTCAAGCACTGGTAATATTAAAATATCATTATACTTTGATTGTTCCGAACTTAAATGTAATAACTGATCAGCATTTAGACCTAAACTTCCTATCACAAAATAATGCTTTATTTTAAAATCTTTATTATCAGATCCATCAAAGTTTTCATTATAAAGTTTTAACCATGTTTCTCTTATTGTTTCTCTTTTACCGAGGTTATTTGGTGCTGAAAGTATTAGAATTATAAGTTCAGGATTTCGTAACTTAGAATTTTGCATAATATTATATTCTCTATCTGCATTCTCAATTCTACATGTCTTTTCTATAGGAGTTAAGTTTATTGTAATCATGCATCCCAACAGAAATGAAAATATTATTAAAAACAGCGTTCTAAAGGGCTTTCCTCCAAAAAATTTTATCATATCCAGAAATATTCCGCAACTCAATTACGAGGAAAATCTTTTTAACAAAACATACTGAATTGAACAACTTATTTAAAACGTCTGGAATTAAATAAGGTTATGTTACTGTCAACGTCAACATACAAATCAACAACAGCCACAGAACTTATTACAGATTATAAACAGAACATTTGTACTTAAGAAAATGTCAACAGTTATCTTGAGTGCTTTCGTTTTGCAAAGTTAGATATACCAGGACAAAAAGTTTTTTTTCGTAAAGTGCGCGGTTTTATCTTTGGACTCGCACTACACTTTTATAAACTCGATAATTACATCTATGCCATAGATTCTATGGAGTGTATACACCAGTACACCATATAAGTACGTGGTAATACACTCCGTATGTCCTCGAGTTGTCAATAGCTCCCGAGGCTCCCGTCTTTGTCAAAACGAAAGCACCTTCTGTGCTTGTTCATCTTGTGTACTTTCAATACATTTTTTCGCCTTCCTGAGAAAATATTCAAATCTCAAAATGGCCGAAAAAAATTAACTTTTTTTATTAAATTTTTCATATTTGCTTACCTTTTCCTATTGATAAAGAATTTTTTCAAAAAGCTAGTAGGTAATAAATTTTATACAGGGTGATTCGTAATGATGTGCACATATTTTACGGAGGTGGTTAAAAAGTAATTTTAGGGGGGGCACTTCCAATAAATTTTTTCGATTTGAGCCCCCCCCCCCTGAGAAAATATTCAAGTCTCAAAATGGCCGAAAAAATTAGTTTTTATTTTTTTTTTATTAAATTTTTAGTTCATATTGCTTAGCTTTTCCTATTGATAAAAAAGCATGTCAAAAATGACGATCGTTTTTGGTGACTGTTATACTGTACCTAATCGACAAGAAAAATAATTTATTTTTTTGCTCGTAAACCATTAAGTATACGAAAAAATTGGAAGGGTAAAAAAGTTTCTAAATGAAATGTAGTATTAAAAGCTATTTTTCTAGTTGGAATTGGCTAACGTAGAAAAAAGTTGTGAGAGAAATAAAACCAAGGGGTGCTAATTTCTTTCGTTCAGACATAAACCAAGAAAAAAAGACTACTAAAAAATACCATTCAACTAGTTGTTAACGTGTATAAAAATTGAAATTTCCAAGTTTAACCGTTTTCGTGAAAAAAAATAAAAGCTAATTTTTTTGAGATTTGAATATTTTTTCAGGGAGGGCCCAAATAAAAAAAATATATTGGAAGTTCTCCCCTAAAATTACTTTCTAAACACATCCTTAAAATATTTGCGCATCATTATGCAACACTCTGTATAAGTTTACATTCTTAAAAGTATTTAAAATGCAAATCCGACGATCTTAAAAGTTTCACCTTCATTTTATACAGCTTGGAAGCGAAACGATTCTGTAGGAATTATTTTAACAAAAAAAACAATGGGGTACATGACTTTTATTAAAGTAACTTACAAAATAGTAATTAGTTTTGTGACCTCAAAGTCTTGAGTATACTATTTAAAATGTCTATCGACTCTAAATGTAAGGGATTATTCTTATCTAGTTGTTGATGCAAATTGACAACTGTAACACTAAACATTTTGAATTCGGGAGTATTAGATCCTTGTAGCCACACCCTCGGCAATATAAGGCTGATCAGTCGAACTTTCTGAACAGCGTCGGTCACCATGCAGAACTTTAATGAACTCAGCAAATATCGATCTAACAGAGACTGCAAGGCCAATTCCTTTAAGGTGTTGTCGTTTAAAATGCCCTGCCAACTAGTTATGTTTTTAAGCAGTTTTAACCCACTAGCAAACTGCCTTTGGAAAAACTGAGACTTACTTTCTGCCAACTTAGGAGTTACTGGAATAAATACGTCATGCTCTAGCGCAGTTTTCATCTTATGTAAAATAGCGCTAAATAAATTATTTAAAGGTTTACTAGCAGGTCCTAGCGTAGGAAATTTCCTTATATAACGAGACACGGTGCCAACTAGTCGCAAAGTTTGTGAGCTAGAGAGGGGGTCCCAACATCTATCAACAAGCTGTGTCAATTTGGGAATGATTACTTTCTCTATGATTGTAGGCAACAATGAAATATCTGGATCTTTTGATAGAGATTCTTCCGTTTCATCGTCATGTAACCCATATAATGCTAGAGTTCGATACCAATCGAGTTTTTCCAGCTCAATTGTTTCATTTAACGAGTCCCAAAACACCAAGTTGAGCCTTACTAAAGGGCTAACAACTTTTGGTAAGCAAAATGTCGCATATGCCTCTGTATATGCCGTGAGATCGGTTGATCTCCACTGTTCAAATTTGATTAAAATATTTGCGGTAGAAGAATAATCTTCAACCACATCCTCAAAGACTACCAGTAGTTCGGCTTCAATCTGTTCCCGTTCCTTTTCAAAATTCAGGATGTCTTGTTGGGAAATTTCGTCATCACTAGACATACCTAAAAAGAATTTATTAGTTTAAAATTTTAACAAACAGTGTTATATACAGCGTGTTCCTAAATAAGTGTCGCAACGGAAAACTGTAAATTCCTCTTGAAAAATGAGACATTTCTTCCATTTTTCTCTCCGGGCTTTCGTTTTGTTTTCTGTTGCGATACTTATTTAGCAACACCCTGTATTTGCAGTGGCGGCTCGTCAGGTGATGCAAGTGACGCATCGCTTCACCTAAAATTTCCGTTTGGTTGTGCAATTTAAAATTATTTTAAATTTCATATAAATTTTATAATTTACAACGTATAGTATACGTAAGTGACGCAGATTGAAACAGTCTGTATTGTGCTTCTCTTCGAAGCTTTGTTTACGGCGGTTGTCATGGCAATGAGGCGGCCAATATATGGGAGTAAACAACGGCGAGGGGGAAAGAGTGACGCGGATATCGAAGCAGCATTGTCATCGACCATCGCCTGATCACCTGCCTTTAAACAGTTTATATGATACGCGTCGCCCAGTGCACGATTATAACGGTTCTTAGTTAATAATTGTTTTGTATAATAATTGTGGAAATGTTTCTTATGTATGATCCAGTATGTACTTTATTGAAAACGCCATTTTCCAGATGGAAAATTGAGGACAAAAAGGATTTTTTAAATTGCGAGACCTATGCCTTATTCTCTCGATATGGAAAAAGGGGGAAGTCAAAAAACAATGTATACATTCGGAAGTTTCAGAATGGATGGTATTCAAAGTATAAGAGTGGTTGTGTGGAAGTGTTTATTTAAAAAAACTTTTCTGGTATGCAGTGTTTAATTGTGAGTGTAAAGCCGGGCGTGTGGAATAAGGAGGGATTTAACAATTTTGGGAATGTCTCACGAGGCTGTCGTAACCACAAAGCTTATTTGGAACATACATGATTGTACGGGTTAATATTCGCAGAAGTCCATGAGCCGAACTAATTTTTCTATTTTTTATAAAATCTAAATAAAAATCCTTTGCACGGACTTTAGCTTTCGGTAATATTGCAAATGCAACTAAAAATTTCCAGATTCATTTAAAGCCTTGAAAATTTGAAAATTTTACAGTGGAAATATTAAGGAAATCAATCAAATCAAAAGATTCTAGCTGTCTCAACACATAACTACAGTTTCCAAATTTGAAATAAAACTATTTTAGAATAACTTGGAACTTTGGGGAATAAAAGACATGATCTTTAGGGCTGTTTTTGTTACATATGAAGCCTTGGTAATTTAGACAGTAATGCATGTACATACCTTCCACATGTTTTGGCAGTCCAGGAATTTCCCTTGCTCTCCTCCTCCTTGTCCTACGTCCCTCTCTTTCTGCTGCTCTCCTCTGTTTCTCCTCATCTTCAGGCCCTTTCCTTATTAAACCTCCTTTATTTGTAGCTTCTTCAGCCTGATCCCTTACATCTTGCCTCCTCCTTTCTATTAACCATTCGGATTTACGAGCCATTAGATCCAATGCGCGCTGTTCCAAATTAGAAATAACTCCAACTTTCTCATCCAGACATTCTACAAGATCTGTAATGTATCCTCTGAGCTCTTGATAAAACCGAAACCTTTCCGCTGCCCCTGGTGCTTTAAATCGTAACTCATCTAATTCTTTTGTTACCTGGTGAATATCTTCACGGGTCTTTTGCAACTGAACTATATTGTGATCTCTAGATGCACAGACTTTTTCGAAGTGTTCTCTTAGCTTTTCTGCTATCATCTGAGGTGTTCTGGGAACTCCAGGCTCTATGACAGGTATTTGAGGAGTGATGATAGGTGGCGCAGGACAATCTGGTAGGAATATCATTTCTTGGGCCATAGATATAGCTGCACCTAAGGGCATTATTTTAATTTTTAGATTGGAATTTTAAAGATTTTAATTATTTTACCTGTCACTCCTTTTCTAATTTGCTGATCTTCCCATTCGTCAACCTCATGGTCAGATTCCTGAGCTGCCAAAAATTGTTCTCTTCTACGCTCCTGATCTCGCAAGTTCAAATTAATGTCCATGTCAATCCGATCCTCATCGCTACCCTCATTATCATCTTCTCTTAATAATCTACCCTTGTCTTCGGGTTCTTCCTCGTCTACTGGAATATAATCACCTAATTCGCGTGCCCTTTGTCTACGCTTCCGTGCAGCATGTATCATAGCAGCATCTGGAATAGCACCTGATTCCAGGACTTTCTTAAAATTGTCTGGTTTTGAAAAACGATGAGTTGTTGCTGTCGATCCATCCTCATCCTCTTCAGATGATAGGTCGTCTTTACCTTAAAAAATATTAAATTTTAGTGCACATGGCTTGGTATAAATTAATAATTTTTACCAGCACATAAAGCATCTCTTCCGGAAAGAATTGGTGGTGGAGGTGTGTTTGGTTTCTTATGACTAGAATTAACAACTAATACCAAATCATCAGTGACTATCTCTGTTTTCACCTTCAGCTTGGGTTCTTCTTTTTCAGGTTTTATGTCTTTTTTCCTTTTCTCTTTTTCAAACATTTTCATAATTTTCTTACTATGAGAAGACTTTTTTACTTGAAATACCTCACCTTCCTCTTCCGCATCAAAACTTAACAATGTTTGTTTTTGTTTAAATGACTTTTCTTTCTTTCTAGGATTTTTCTCGATAGATACCACTTCTTGCACCTGCATTGGTTCATCTTCATCATCGTCATTTTCTGTAAAAACTCTTCTTTGAACTATATTCTTTTTTGGTTTTCTAAATAGAGACATTGCGGATACTCAATATTTTTATTTTATAACGTTTTATAGGTTATATTTCTGACATATTTACATGTAGGGTACCATAGACTAACTAAATAGTTCAGAACGAAAAAATACATTGTTTAGGGGCGTGTTCGCATGAAATGCTAGATGTTCCGGGCGATTTCTGAGTGAAAAAAAAAATTTAATCTGAAACGAAAGCCATTACAATAAGAGTGTCGTTTGGAAAGCAATACAAGTAAAATATAGAAATAGTAAGATATTTTGTATGATGGTTTTTGTCAAGGGTGACATTATACAGGAATAAGAATACAACATACATACTTTTTTGAAAGATTGCATTATTTAATAATTTCAATATATCAGGTATGTGTTTTGGAATTAATAAGATTAATTTTGTTTAGATAATTTATTAATTACTAGTACTAAATATTCCTGGTACCTTTAATTCAATGCTAGTTGACGCATGTAGTCCAAAGATCAAAGAGTAGTAGTTGTCTCCAGTAATATCATCAGTTAAGAATCTTGTCTTGAAGTTAGATATCTATATACCTTCAGTTCGATATAGTATTAGTTTACTATCAAAATCTAAAATACAGTAAAAGTACGAGATCTAATAATAAAATATATATTCTTAGAAAGATTAATTGTCTGTTATTTCATAAGTAATTATAACTAATAACATTTCACAATTTAATTAAGCTTAATTTCAAAATTATGTAAATATTATATTTATAACATAATATTCTTTCTTTAATCATTTTAAATAACACTCAACAAAGTAAATATGTTTGATTGTAAATAAATTGAAATATTCGAACAATTATTGCAAATAGGTAGTTTGCACAAACGCATCTGGAGTAATAGTGCATCAGTAATAGATCCAGAATGATAGAAGCGTTTGGGGAGTTTATATTAAATAAGGTATAACAATTATTTTATATCTGTTGAAAATTCAGTCTAGTAAAAAATTTCTTATAATTAATTGTACACCCCTCGTATACTAACAGGATTTTTATATTTCAAAACTTTTAACACAATTCGCCATCTGCGCATGATTGTTGACCCATCTCTGAGACTTATTCAGTTAATTTTGTTAAATTGTGGTCATTTCCTTTCTACTTAATCATTTTTATTTTATATCTTGGATGGTAACGATAAAAGTAATAGCTGTGTTTATTATCCGAGATCTCGGGTAAATAAAATTAAAATACGGTTTCTGTACAAAATTTTATAGAAAATACAGGATGTATTATTAAGGTACAGGATAAATGAAGGTACTTCTTCAAATGGAAGGAATAAAATGTTTGATTTTCATTTTCATTATGTTTTGTAGCTACCCGAGATCTCAGCTATTGATACAAGATTTTGAATCATGTCATACAGGCTTTACAAACAATTGATAAACATAAACCCCCACTCATAGATTGTATCCACTTACGGGTGCCTGCCCTGCATATAACCTTATTAATTTCAATAATAGTTTTCTGTAAAACGTTTTAAGTGGGAGAGTTTGGTTTGGTTGTTTATTGCAAAGAAAACGGTACACTTGCTTTGTCATAGCGTTATGTAGTTAAATTCTAGTAGTAATTTAAATACCTACCTGCGTGTGTGTGTATGTATAGTGGCACTGGCATATCAGTATGAGAAATTGCTGCTAGTGTTAGCACCAGAGACAACTCTGGTAGTACTTGGCACTTAGTTTCATTGCATGTCGTGCTTTTAATAGGTTGTTACTTGTTAAAGACTGCCTAAAACGATATGGCTAACAAAAATGTTAAAAGTAATGAAGCTAAAGGACAATCCAAAGCAGTGGAAATTTATTTAATTGCTTACAATGCAATTCAAACACTAGGGTAAGGGGTTTTAATTTTTTTTCATGTAAATAAGAAATTGTGCTGATAGTACTCATAATTATTTAAAAATGTGTTTAAGGCGAAGTTCTCATTGAAATCAAGGTCCTTTAGTTTAATTTATATTTTGTAATAGTACCTACCTTTAATATTCTTATCCCAATTTTGTAATTCAAATTTCTTCAATTACAAATGTGTTAATATTAATAGTCAATTGTGTTAAAATATATTGTATTTTACTGAGTACATATGTGGAATTACCATTTACCAATGTTTCAACGGACTTATCATAGATATTATTATGTAAACACTAATTCAACTGAAAGTGTGTAATATGCATGTTCTTAGTAATATGGTATTAATTAACAAACCTTACACATGTTTAATGTGACCAACACATTTGATTTAAAAGAAGTAATAATTTTATTTATATTATTAATCGGTGGTTTAAAATATATATATATGAAGTATATACATATCAGTAATAATTATTTCCTTTACTGAAATCAATTTAATTTAATTGCAAAAAACAAACTAATACAGTTTCAGCTATAGTTGCATTCATTATTTTTGTTGAAACAGATACAGCAAAAGAAGCATGTTCTATTTATTGTATAGGTCGAGGTATAGGTATATTCATAAATATATTTATAAATCTTGTATCTTGTGTACTTTACACCTGTCACATAAGGAATAGTAATTAATTTAATGTATTATTAATAGCAGGAAAAAAGTTTGTAATAAAAAAAACTAGTTTTTAGAAAAAAATGCTCAAGGTTTATCATTAATTTGTTTATAATTTTTGTTATTTTCTTAAAGGCATTGTGATGTTTAATGTTTTGGCATAATATTTATTTAAGCTTTAACTGAATAAGGTTTTACAATTATTAATTGATGTACTTATTGATTTTTAAGGAATAATAAAAAAATAGCAAAAACTGTCGAAATAAAAAAAAATATTTGTAATATTTTCACACTTATGCTTCAAATATTTTATTTTAGGTGGTCATACTTGCTGTATCAGCTCATATCATTCTACCTCCTATCCAACACCACCAAATCTCTATACAACACAGTAAAATGCACAGTGATCATTTTTCAAAATGCCGCAGTTTTAGAAGTAGTGCATGCAGCCATGGGTATGGTAAAATCCAATCCTGTTCTTACAGCTTTCCAGGTAGCTTCCAGAGTTATAGTTGTATGTGGGGTTCTCATGGCCACCGAGGCACCTCGTGAATCTATAGGACTCACTTGTGCTCTCACAGCCTGGTCCATAACTGAAATTATAAGATATGCCACCTACACGTTAAATTTGCTGAATATTGTGCCCTACGTCTTGAAGTGGTTAAGGTAAGTCATAGATATTTTTTTGAATTACGATATAATGGAAATTTTACACTTCAATTAAAATACCATGTTATAGAATTATTTACAAGCACGGTAATGGTTTAATATTTGCACACTGCATTTTATGGAAATTTTAATAAACGGAAACTTACGAATATATTTTGTTTACGCTTACATATGGAAAAAATTTGTCATTGACTTTTCAAAAATGTAATGTAATGCAAAAATGTTGTTAAATTATTAAAAATGGATAAAAGTATTTATATGCAAATTATGTGTTTTGTCATTGAAAAACAGTAGAAACATTCCATTACGACGGTTTCATTGAAGACAAGTTAAACTGGTTTTTAAGTACTGTTAAACATACTACATCATACAACCACATTTTTAGAAACAATTTTGTCAATAATAACAATTCTTTGGCTTCTTCACTAGTAAAGGTTGATATATTCAGTGCTATTGTAGAATTTATAATTAATTTACAATAGAAATTACCAATTAATATTAGGTCTATAAAATATGTTTTTTGTACCTATATCAGTAAAAAACCTTTGACATTATATCCTGGCATTGTATTTAAATAATAAGTGACAAAGCAAGTAATAATTATATCAATAATTCTCATAGTAAAGATATACAACTGTATGATACTATCAGCGTTGCCAGATTTTTTTTCGGGCAAAGCGGGATTTTGAAACTTTTTGAATAAAAAAGCGAGATTCTTTCGTCCAAAAACGGGACATACTAAGGGTTACCAGATGTATTTCATGACAGACCTGGAGTCATGACGCGTTTGTATAACTGATGCCTAAAAAAAAAAAAAAGTCTCAGGATGTCTAGGAAACAAATTGTGTTTAATGAAATCGATGTCTAAAGAAAAAGGATATAATCAGGAAATATCTACTTAATAACAGACCTGGAAAAAATAATTCATGCCTAAAAAAAATGCCGCGCGGGACACTTAATTTTGGGTTAAAAATCAGGATGTCTGGCAACGCTGGATACTATGTACATTACTGATGTGTCTTTTATGTTAGTAATTCTTTGCTTTACTTTAAAAGTATTAAAATATTCAAATTTTTTAAAAATATTCCTATCAAATGGATATGTATTCAAATTAATACCAATGTTTAGATATGCTAAAGAAATAACTCTATAGACGATGAGCTAGTAATTAACGATTATCTAAAATAAAAAAATAACCTAGGTCATAGATGTCTTAAACTTGCAGATAAACACATTGGGCCATTATGAACACAACCATTCTTCATACATTTTGAGGATTGCTTTTTCAAGTGGCAATATCATATTTTGTTTTAGATACACATTGTTTATTGGATTGTATCCACTTGGGGTAACTGGAGAACTGTTATGTATATATGCCTCACAGAGGGAAGTGGGAGATAATCAGTTGTATTCTGTGAAAATGCCGAATGCATATAATTTTATATTCAGTTATCAACATTTACTTTGGTTCATCATGTTACTATACATCCCATGTAGGTTTATATTTAATTTCGAAAAGAAAAAAAAACTTCATAGATTTTTTTTTAGTGTTTCCACAGCTGTACTTACATATGCTCTCACAAAGGAGGAAAGTTTTGGGAGCAACATCAAAAAAACATACATAAATTCCTCAGTTATTTATTTTATTTTCGAATGCTTGTGGTTGTTATAAAACTTTTTTACTTTAGCATCGTCTTTGTTTAACCCATCTGAGTTTTTCCTTTAACAAGACAAAAAAGTAAGAATTTTTCAAATAACACTTTTTTAATACTCAAATAAAATAGTTAAATAATTTAGGTAAGTAAGTCTAGGCCTGCCAAAAAATATGTACAAAGATATAGGTAGTCTAAGCCAGTCATTCCGTCTGGTAGTATAAAGAGGCCAACAGGTTTTCCAACATGTCCAGCGTGATTTGAGGTATTCTATTTCTTCGCAAACGAAATGCTATGGCAGCATTTTAGTAACATTCGCCATATACTTTCATTTAATGTTAGGGCTTACCAAAGTAAGTTGTTCCCAGATGCACATACGTCCTACTACTCAATAACAATAATAATAATGTGCCGCCCGTTCTTCCGTACAAGTCTCCGACTTCTAGGCTAACCTTGCAATTAGGATGAGTGGTAGAGGTTAGGGTGGCCCAAAAAAAAACTATTATTATTTTCGTGTCTCTTGTGAAAATATATTAGTCTATCATGTTTTAACAGCCCCCTCAAAAAAGCAGCTCAAAAAAAAATTTTTTAGAGGTCGCTCAAGATTTTTAAAAATTTCCAAAATCGTCATAAATTGAGTTTTTTTAAAAAATTTTTTTCTCGTTATTTTATCATTTTTAGGTAGAAAAAAATCTCAATCCTGGAAATTTCAAATCGATATTTTAATTTCTAAACGTAATTATTTTAACTTTCAAAGTAGTGTACCCGTTTTCGAGCAACCTTTAAAAATAAATATCAACGAACTAATTTTTTTTTTATTGATTTTGATGAACAAAAGAATAGAAATAAATCACTTAAATTTTAAAAAATTAAAAATATTTGATACTCAGTGCGGTAGTAAATTTTGCCTCGAGAAATTTTTTAAGTGACTAATAAAACAATTATTAGTTCGTTGATATTTATTTTTAGGTCGCTCGAAAACAATTTAGGTACTTTTAAAGATAAAATAATTATGAGTGACATTTAGAAATTAAATTATCAATTTGAAATTTTCAGAATCGAGATTTTTTTCAACCTAGAAAATGATAAAATAACGAGAAAAACAATTAAAAAAAAAATTTTAATTTTTGACGATTTTGGAAATTTTTAAAAATCTTGAGCGACCTCTAAAAAATTTTTTTTGAGCTGATTTTTTTTAGGGGGTCAGAAAACATGATAAACTAAAATATTTTCACGAGACACGAAAAAAAAAATTCGTTTTTTTGGGCCACCCTAGAGGGATATTATTTCATTCATCACTACCGTAACTTTATACACCAAAATTAGTAGTAGTGTATTGTTTAAAACCCAAACCACCATTTCTTTTAAAACGCAGTCATACATGAGTTACAAGACAAAGAGAAAAAAAATTTGTTAACATAACCAATTCCTATTTATTCTATTGGACTTTCTAATAACATAAAAATTACGATTTTTCACAGAATTGTTAAAAAAAAATTTCCTGTCGAGATTTTTAAAAAATTATATTTGGAAAATTTGCTTGGTCAAATTTTCTGTCGAGTTAAAAGCAAAAACCTTCATTTAAATATTACAATGTAAATGATAATTTTAATGCCTATAATAAAATATTTCATTAAATAAGGAGTTATAAATACAATATAATAGTTCGTATAAATATCTCGGTCTTAATTTTTCAATGCTCTTTGTATCTTCCTGGAGTGTCTACTCCTAGATTCGGTTAAAGCATTTTCTAGCTCATTTGCAATATGTAATAGGTTATTAGGATCAGTCTGAACTAAAATTTTTTCCCTGTCGATGCCTGTACCTTCATTTTTCTTTCTCAGTACCAGTTCCATTGCAATGAGTGGGGTTACTTGTTGCAGTAAGGAACGAGATGAAACCTACAAATATTTGGGTTAATTAATTGAATTGAATCTTAGTATCATTTTGAAATGAAATTTAAAGAAACCTTTTACTGAATCTTGTAAAATCTTTTATACACAAAACTTAAAAAATATGTTATCTTTAAAATCTAATTCACACACAATTGATAATAATAAATACCTGAACCTCAAACCTCCATTTCAAATCTTCATAATGCGGTTCATTTATACACGCTTGATTCAGTTTATGAATATCGTTTTGTTTTGATTCATAGAATTTACTCAGTACGACTTGCTGTTCGTGGGAAAATCCTATTGTTAGCACTGAATCTCGAAAATCTGCTTCACTTAACTAAAAAAAAAAGTACAACAAATTGATACAATAAGAATGCTTTATTACCTTATGCTTACAACTAAGTATTAACAAATTGGTAAGTCCGAATATGCAATTTTGCACCACATCTACTTCTACTTCTAATTTTTGAGCTGCGGTTGTATATCTCTTTAAATTGGGACCATTTTGTAGAAAATCCAAAGCCAGTTTACAAAAATCTACTATAACTAAAATTTACATTTATAAACATTTTTAAAGTTTGAACGTATGAACAATATAAAAAATACCTTGAATAGGTTGTTTAGTTAAAAGCTGTAGATGTTCTTTGTGATCGCTTCTTAATGAAATTAACATTTTATGATAATTATAATTTAAGAAAAATATTCGTAATCAAAATCAACAGAATTGAAAAATAATATGGATTGACACTTTGACTGTTGATCCACTGACTTAGAACTTAGATTAGAACAACGAACAACCAATAATATCAACTGATCCTGAATCACGGTTACCACAGAGCGCTTTTGAGTGTACCGGTTGACCGTGTGTTAAAATTTTTAGAGAGAAAGAGCAATCGTTTGTGTAGTTGCTCTCTCTCGCACGTTGGCATTCGTGCATGCGTGAGAAATATATTACAAAAAATATATTTGTCACTCGTCTATTTGTATATAGTAGCTTTGTTCGTAAACCTTACACTGCTGCACTAGTGTAGTAATACGTTGTTCGTTTATTGCAGTGTAGCCAAGTGCAGGTATAATCCAGGTGTTCGAAAAGTCCAGTGTAGTGTAGTAGTGCAGACACTACTACACTGGCTAACAAGGTGGTGTAAAAGTGTAGTGTAGTATATTTGTGGCGCGAAAATGAAACTTTTATCACAAATGTCACATATTGGTAGATATTTTAGATAGATAAAAAATTTGGCAATATTTGATTTTACTGTGAAATGGCTGATAAAATTCGTCTTCCTTACAGTTTCGAACAAGTTCTATAAAATTTGTAATGCACTTTCTTTTATTTTTTTGGAAACAGGTCTCCAATAAAACATGAATTTTTATTTTTTTACGAAGGTAATCTTCATCATCTGATTCCGATTCGCTTCCAGAGTCACTAAATAATTCACTCATCACAAATATTTTCTCCATGATTTACAATTAGGTTATGCCAGTTTAAGTTTACCCAAATTGAATTAACGAACAGCCAAATGTTTTCTCTAAAAGTGGTGCAGAATTATTATTTTAGTGTAACACTGAATTCCACTACACTACACTACACTACACTTTGTGTAGGTTTACGAACAAAGCTATAGTCTGTGCTCGTCTACACTGTCGTCGTAAACGTGCTTTCTCCATCGAGTTTGTATTCCAAGCATTTGTTTATCACGCGACAAAGGTAAAAAATAAAACCCGGTTATTTATTACTGATAACCAAATTGTGTGATGGCCAAGAAAAAAGAAGAAGAACTGATACCAACATAAAAATATTAAAAATTAAAATTGAAATTTGAAATATTACAGTTGGAAACGTTAACCTAAGATTTCAATTAATACTGTTAAATACAAGTGCTTCAATAATGAATAGTAACAGAAAAATTAAAGCTGAACGAACACCTATTCATTTAAATACGACTGGATATGTTTTTAAAAATAGTGCAACAAAGAGGTTTTCTCCAAATTTATCCAGAATGCCAAATTTAAATGAAACCATAGGTGTTCGACCTAGCTCATCCTCGGATCCAAAATTTAAAAATAAACTGGCTACAAATTATGAAATTAATTATGAAACTGAATTAGATGTGGCGTATAATTACTATTTACAAGCCCAGATGAAGAGACAGTTAGCAGAAAGGAAAATAAGAGAACAAAGTCAAATATTGAAAGATCAGTTGCTCCTATATAATGAAAATTTACATACACGACAACAAAACTTCAAGAAAATAACTGCAGATACCAAACAATTTCAAACCAAGAGCGAAATGGTTCAAATGATAGACTATTTCAAAGAAAATTTTATAAACTTTATAAATGTGTGTGTTGCAAATAATATAAAAGTTGACCTTGGTCATTGTAAGGATATTTTAAATTTAGAATGTGATAAAGTAGTTTTAAAGAATATTAAAACTCTGGAGAGTCAAGAAGAATATGAAAAACTCGCTAGTACTTTGAAGTTGTTTCTTGCAACTACGCAAAAAATTATAAACTCTGGTCGCAACTTTAAAGAAGTTTGTGGTCTAGCGGAAAGCATAAGAAATTTGTCCATTCTGATCGATACTGTTCAAAAATCACAACAAACCATCTCGGAGCTAGAGAAGGATGCCTTATACAATTTCTTGCAGAATATGTCGGATTTTTTTGCTAGAAGATATAGTGAACACTCTGATTAGTACTTTTGTATGTGTATTTTAGACGTTTCAAAATTATAAATTTTTATAAAATGGTTCTTATTTAATGACATTTTCATTTCTAAGCTGACCCGCCCTTCTGCAATAAGGCAATTATTATGGTCCAATTAATAACAAATATTGGGAAAATATGACAAATTTGCATTAAAATATGAAAACAAAATGTAATGTGTCGGTTGCATTACTGTTTCTGCATACGTTACTTACCATTCTTAGAGCTGCTGAATTTTTTGTTAATTTTAAAAAATGTACCAGATGAGTAAAATGGAATTTTTATTGTTCTATATTTTGTGAATTTTTAACAAAAATGTTACTATTTTAATATCAACTATACTCGGCGGCCGAAATTATAAAGGGTGATTAATACATAATATAAAAACACTATTACCATAATGCGTATAAAATATAAAATGATTTCTATACGGTTCAATATTATTTACCTTTGTGCCGCTCGCTACGCACATCGATAGAATCTATAATCGTCTAGAGACCGAATTACACTGAACGTCGATCTATATTCTATCTCTGTCTTTTGCACTTGGTAGGGAATAGGGAAATGCTTTTTTAGTGGGTGTAAACGAACTTGATTTAACCCGTCCTGAGAAACGTCATAGCATAAGCGTAGACGAGGGGTCTAATTCCATGGCTATAATAAACTTATAAATTAAAAAAAACACAAGTGGGACGTTTTAAAATGCTGTAATAATTAAAATGGATCAAATTGCCTGTTATAGCAAACCGTAGAAAATATTAGATGTTATGTTTTATTATGTTTTTTCAATATTTTACATATCTTGTTGCCTTTTACGCAGACACGCCAATGGATTTTCGTTCCCGGCACGCTTCATCCCCCTTACTAGTCTAAGAGCTATCGATGAATCACTATCTATAATTTTGGCCGTCGAGTATAAATTTAAGAAAAATTGGGAGGCATTTTTATCATTCTTTGCGAATTTTTAACAAAAATTTAACCGAATCTTGTTGGTTCCTTGACAATTTCTGACGTCAGAATATTGGTTTAGAAATAAAACAAGTAAGGAAATTATACTTCATATTTTATTTAATATATAGATATATTTCAAAACTCCAATAATGTACAAAAAATATTTGTAATTAAATAATGTTTTGTCTGTCAATTTGTTCATCTTTAATTTAGTGGCTGGGTGTAATTGACAATAATCAAGTATGAATGCTATTATTAATAAGGTCTAGTAACAAGTTCCTAGTAGTAGTAACATGGCGGTTGCCTATCACAATGTCCAACAAAACAAGCTTTCCAAGTAACATACTTTAAATTATGTATAAAATATTAACAGTTACTATTTGTTTTTTATTTTTTTTTTATTATTTTTTTGGTAATGCGTAGCCTGAACACTCACAAAAGGAAGACAACACTAAACACATCCAAAATAATAACAGGTACGCCTCAGGGCGCTATTTACGTAATTTAAACAAGTCCATTAATAAAATATAGTATTATATAAATATAAACAAGTCCTTCAAATATGTACAATTGCACTCTGGCCCTGCGCCTTCCCCTGCTCCGCACTACCCTAACGTAACGAACAAGCAACGTAGTAATGCACTTGATACAGCTAACCTGTCTAGATTACAGCCTGTGGTACAGAACCGATGAGGTACCTAGTAGAATATATCTCTATTATTTACACGTGGTCACTCAGACAGCAGTTTCTGCAGCAACGAGGACTTCTGATCACCTTGTCGTCCCTCCTCCATAGAACTCTGCAAAACACAACAAATTAGTATCGCTCAGAACACCCCCTTTGAATATACATGATACTTATATTAGAAAATCGAAACTTCATTCGATCAAATAGAAATAAGAGCTGTCTGCTTATACAGTGTATAAAATTTTGTGTCTTTTTGCATCTCACAAATCATTTTATCTATCCGGGAATACCCTGTATGCAGAGAATAGCAGTGCGGGGCAATGATATGTGTTCCGACATATTTTTTAAATCAAATTGATTTATAATTCGTTACTCTCAATTGTATGTAGTATGTAAATGAGCATGTGCTTGAGCAGCGTTGTCTGTTGTTATCTTTTTAAACCAACCGCACGAAACTAATGGAGCAAAAAACAAAACTGTACGGGAAAATAATTTCATAAAAACATATTGCTTTTGTTACCATATTTTTTTTACGTCAAAAGCAGATGAAGTGCTGAACATTAGAAAAAGGTTCACTAATATTGGTAAGTGGACAGGTGCACTTTACTAATTGTAAGCAAAACTATTTAGTTTTTAAAATAATTATTTTTTCTGTTTTATTAAATGCACATAAAAATAAAAATACTAATCTGACAAATTTGAAATATTTAGAAAAAAAACAATTTCGATTCAATTTTGATAAAATTTGTTACCATTTTTTGTCCAACTGTGTCAATAATCTTTGATATTCACCTGATGTGAAATGACAATAGGGCCCCAGGTGGGAAAAATAGAAACAGACAATGTTATTTCAGCGAAACAAAAATGGCCGAATATGTCACTGCTTCATTTTTTTACATTTATTTTAGTTTCAGTTTACAAAGTGATTTTAATACGACAGGTAACTTCACGACTTTCTGTGTGAAGTACTGGTTTATACTGCAATTGAAATAGATTGTGTGCAGATTAATTTTACAGTAAAATTTAACGTGGTTTTTGTGTAGTGTACATGTACAACCTTAAAGTTATTTAACTCGGAGTTTACTGATAGTGCGGTTTATGTGCTTTAATTTTTTAATTTCTACGTGATATAATGAAAAAAACGTGTATATGAATCAAGAAAGATGAGGCTAGCAGGTGAGGTTGTTTGAGGTTATGCTAGTCTATCCAATAGCAATGTATGAAAATTGCAAAAGAAAGGTTAAAGATATGTATAAATATAAGACCTATTCAAAGTTTATTAAACATATTATAAAACTACTGTTACTATTGTTCACATTTGATCTCAAAATTGTTTACATTTAAAAACCAAAGAAGCATTTGTATAAGTATTTATGGAAGTAGGTATCCCGAAAATTTAAAAACTGGAGGTAGTCCCCTGACCTGAATTATAGACGACTGACAGATGAAGTTTCGATTTTCACGTGGTGTAATGATAGAATGCTATTGCAAATTTTAGGTGTCGATGGTGGGCTAACATGCAGCGGGTTAGTAACAGCAAGCAGGACAAGCGTAAGTGGACAGGTGTATGGCTTACCCTGGAGGTCGCTGGCTGCGGAGACATTGAGCCCATATCTGAACCCATCGCACCCCAAAGTTTCGGGCTATCACTCGCACCTGCACGCAACAATGACATCATTGTACGCACTGCACTCCCTACAGAACCACCACTGCTGCTTCATTCGAATAACGTGGTAGTCAAATTTCCTTCATCTTTTACATTTAATTAATAATTGTATGGACAGGTCATTTATACGTGTTGTATCAAATCTGAGGCACCACTCAAATGGGTCCCAATTTCAAAGTTGATTTTATCGCAAACAGCCAATCTGACTAACCTTCCCATTATTTATTCCTCAGTTAAGATGTTGAGATAAAAAATTTTATTGTAATTTCAGTTTTCAAGTAAGCATTCACTATTCCTTCTAGTGCTTCCTACAGGGTGTTTAAAATTTAGGATAAAAAGCTTAATCTCCTCTTTGAAATGATGAAAACTGAAATTTCAAGGCAAATCAAACTTGCCGTTTGCGAGAAAATCAAGTTGGTGCCTACTTTCAGCGGTCCATCAATTTTTATACAAAGTTTTCAAAAATTAATTGAAAGTACAAAAACAGTTTTAATTATGTGAAATTTCAAAAATAAGACAATTTATTGCTATTATTTATTTCTGTCTCCCCGAAAAAAACGATTTATTTGAAGCAGCAAAGGTGATATCTGCCCCTTATATGTTTAGTAAAGAACAAAAACACACAATTTGGGGAGAGTACAGAGGAGATGGGGCACACTTAGACATCGTAAGACGCAGACATAAAGTGACAACCAAAAAGTCATATTTACACAAAAATTACTTGTTACCCATCTCCCTGTATGTACAAAACATTGTTAAATATGGATAACTGTACAACAAAATTTAATTAACACTATCCCAAGATACAATTTTTGGTTTTGTACAGGCAAAGTTTAGTTTGTATATTGCAATAGTGAGAAAGAGATCTATTAACTAAATTATATAAATCATTAAATGTTTTCAGGTTACAATCAAACATTTTTGGTAAATTTACACAATTATTCACTAATCAATGAATTCACCGAAAAGTCGTTTTGCATAATAGTTGGCCTTTTACAATGTACACACAATTACACATATTTGGCGATATGAAAAAATGTAAGTTAAAAAGCACTTGGTATGTCGTGTTTAGTGCATTACAAAAGCTTGATAAATATGATTTATATTATAGCAATCTAAGTTTAGTTCAACTTACCACATATTTTATTTTACCATTTCTATGACGTAATTGATTATTCGAATATTTTAAATATATAAAATAAAAACATCTTTAAATGCAAAAATCTTGTGTCATGATCTGTAAATATTGATGGTGATTATATATTTAATATTTATTGAAAGATCTGTTCTCAAAAAAAGTGCATACACTTTTTAGTGTTAACATGTCACGAGTTTCTTACACAATCTGGAATTTAGGAATAACATGGTAAGTTAAGATCATTTCTGAACATAAATAGGCTGCGACAATTAATACATAGAGGGATGCGAAATTATGTGTGTATGTTATTATTATGGTATGTATGATAGTATGAATGAATAAAAAAAGTAAAAGCGCTCATATCGAAAATGAATAAATATCTACATTTTTCAGTGATTTTTTTTTTTAGTGTAAAATTTAATTTTGAAAACTTCTAATACGAGATGTAACATATATGTTTGCTATTAACATGTTAATAGCAAACATATACAGGGTCGGAAAGTACCGATGGTCCATCTGCTGTTACGTGAGAGCGATAAAATAAGTCATAGAATCCGTGCGATAGAGAAGGATGGCTATAATGAAGGCATCTCATAGTCACCGTCCGTTTCGCCCTTCCACAAATAAGATCCACTTCTTATTTGTGGAAGGGCGAAATGGGCGGTGACTATGAGACGCCTTCATTATAGCCATCCTTCTCTATCGCATGGATTTCTGACTTACTTTATCGCTCTCACGTAACGGCAGATGGTCTATCGGTACTTTGCGAACCTGTAGACATTTGTCTATAAAACCCTTGGTTTTTAAAAAAAATTGCCTGCAGATTCATCAAAATTCAGCAATCTTCGAGATAATAAGGGAATATGTATATAAGATGTATTGAAAAGTGTAATGAAGCAGAGAAACACCATTTTGAATACTTTTTATAAAGTCATTTACATAAATTCTAAATGTACCTATTATTACGAGGAGTGCCTTTTATATTTCAGGAATGGAGAACAAAAAAAAGAAATTAATTTTCTTATCGTTTATTTTTTTTTTTTTTATTCTCTTCTCGGATTAGTTTATTCGCTTGGCTTGATTTTTTTTGGACTTTTTCCATTCTGATTGAGGTACCTCCAAAACATGCATTTTGAACGTATCAACCGCTTCTTCAGGCTTCGAAAAACGTCCTCGTAATTTATTTTTGATGTGCGGGAATAAAAGTCATTGGGTGCTAAATCAAGGCTGTATGGCGGCCGACTCATCAATTCGACTTTTTCATTTCTCAAAAAAACTTTTGAGTCGATGTGTCAGAGCTGACATTGTCCTGGAAGAGAATGATTCGTCTTCGGCAGTTATCTTCCCTTATTTTTCTGAACATTTCTAGCAAATAAATGGTTGTGTACCATTCAGAATTAACTGTCCGATGTTGCAGTAATGGTACAGTTACCATATGTCCGGGTTTTCCGAAAAAACAGAACCATTTGCTTAAAAATGCTTCGTGTGCAATCAACTTTTGTTGGATTTGGCTCATCTTGAAAGACCCATACAATCGACTGCTATTTACTCTCGGCCTCATAAGCATAAATCCCTGGTTCGTCACTCGTTACAATGTTACAGAGGTGTTTTGAAGCATTGTGATCGTATTTTTTGAGCATTTCTTTTGACCAATCAACACAGTTTTTTTTTAGCAATTATGTGGGATGCAACGTGAACAAATTTTGTGTGAACACACAACATCAATGTTTCGGGAAGAACAACCCATTTTGGATGAACTTTATGAAACTCGTCAGTGCACGAACCACGGCCACAATTGAATTCCGTATGCCACCGATATACAGTGGTTTTTGATGGTGCTTCATCGTCAACAGTTGAATTAAGTTCATCCATGTACTGTTGTTGAGATAATCCAAGTTGAAAGTTGTAAAAAATAATTGCACGGAAATGTTCATGAGTCGAATTTTACGATAGGGACGTCGATTGTCAGATGGCAGTACCATTCCCAAAGATAACCCTCGTAAAATTTAATCATTTTCATCTGGCCAAGAGCAAAAGTGAAAGAGCACATACAAAAAGTTAAAGGATCGAGTAGTGGGAACTAACTACATTTGGAAAAGAAATAGAAAATCGGTAATATCCTTGATAAAACATAAGTGTTTGCATAAAAATGTATTTATTTATTCATTTTATTCGAATGAGAAAACATTTCGTCATTTTTGAAACACTGTTGAATTTTGAACAAATTCAATTTCAGATCACCTCTATTCAATATATTAAGTCCAAGGCTGGTTAGTACACACAAAAATGTTAATAATGCAAACAAAAAAAAAAGTGCACGTTTCTCCACTTTTATAATAAATATACAAAATTTGTTAGTCACTTCGGAACACCCTAGTAACATTCTTAGCAACCAAAAATGTTTGACGTAACAGTTTAACCCAACTGCTATCTAAATATCACCGACCAGTTTGCAAACGGCAGTTTGTTACTTACCAGTGGCCATTTCGAAATTGATTCCTAACGACTCGAGATCATTGACTTGCTGTTGCTGGGACATTAACTGCGACGGGGGCCTGTTGCCGGCGGGCTGAGTCTGCCCAGTCCTCGCACCAACTACAGCACGCAACTCTTGCCTCACAAATTCTGAAGTGGGCCCACTTCCAGATACACCTGTCACATACCAAGCTCACAACATCGCTCGTCGCGTAACATGCTATTTGTTCTTTAAGTAACCTTTACTTGACAATGGTCGCTACCATTGGTAGAAGTTACATAAAAAACTCTTAAGTTCAATGTTCCATTTAATAACGAGTGCATGATTTGATAAATTAAACATAAAAACACTTTACAACAAAACATCTATGCCATTCTAAAAATATTCATAAATCGTTCGGCACATTCCTCTAAAATTTCTCAAACTCAATGTGTTGCGCCAATAGAGAAATATGTTTTAATAGAATCCACTTATGGAAATTTTGCTGTAAATCAAAGTTTCATAGGGTGTTCATTATAACCACTTAAATTTAACTGATAAAACAAGGTCAAATACAAAAAAAAGTTGTGTTGAAATAATGAATAGTTTACTATAGCAGTATATATAATGAAATTGAACATAAAACAATTAAAAAAAAAACATTGGGAAATTGATGTTAATGAGACAATTTAATTCCTAAATAATTTCCCTAAGAGAAAACAAATAAATGATGCTCGATAAAAGTAAATCTGTATCAACCTACATGAGAAAACGGCAAATGCAACAGTACCATGCACATCACAGTTAAATTAAATGAAACATTTTCGTTATTAAAACATAAATTTTTAGCAAGACAACAATATGATTGATGAATTAACACATAAAGCACACAATATATAAAAAAAAAAAATCGGCTAAACTAAAAAGTGGCAAATTAAAAAAGCACACAAACATAAACATATAAAGCAACACAAAAATCAGCATGGAAAACACATATCAATGATATAAAAACCATGGCGATAATTGTCGGGACGGGATTCAGGCAAAGGGAGACAAGGGCAGGATATTCCCCAGTGATTTTAGCACAGCTATGAGGCGAGCACATGTAAATGTAGGTATATTATGAGTGTTGTTAGACACAGGGCATTGTTGTGCCGATGAATAGTGCTATGGTGAAAATGACCGCGACATTTATCAAATCCTCAGAACTAGTTATCACTCATATTTTTGCTTTCTCAAAATTTCACCCATTCAGAATTTTAATTTAAAGTTACTAAACCAAAGACAATCAATCAGACTTAGTGCTATCTAATTATGCATATGCATAGAATACATTTCGCTGTCTTTCTTCAACTTTTCTGTTGCTCTGTAGTATTTCAACCAAAATTTGAGAAAAATCCACTACTTCTTTTTTTGTTGTTAGAACTTAAGTTGCATTTATATTTTGAGGCGAATTCTGTTAAACATAAAGACGGAAATTGTGTTAGTAAGGGTGAAAGATCGAGAAGGCAAACACAACAAACACAGGCTGGCCAACTGAAATTACAACAAAACGACTAGCTTCATTCTGAAGATTTATGGTGGGTGTTCTGAGAGAGGTGCCCCTAGCTTGCCGTCGTTAACTTACCGGGTTGGAGGTGGGGGGGTGCACGTCCCCTGTCAGCGCCATTGTAGGCTAATGGTAAACCCGCCTGATCGTAACAGAACTGGGAGTCTTGTTGGTACATCATGGGAGGTACATTGTGGTGGGGAGGGATGTTGGGATAGGAGTGGGGATGGTGTTCCCTGCCTGTGTATGGCCGGGGGGAGCCCAGCCCACCTGTAACACACGCCACCCTCTCAATTCATGGTTCCTAACCTCCTCATTTACCCTAGTCTACAGGGTGGTGCAAGAAACAAGAGCACATTTAACCTTCTCCACACCAATTCGTTGAACAGTTGTTTCATCATTATGGAAGCCAATTGATTTTCATTTGATGTTTTGGCATATAAAAAATGTATGAATCGGTAGTGTTCTCCAAAAAAATAGCTCTCAACTACTACCAATTTCTTAAAATTTCTATAGTATGTGAGGATTGTCACAAATAAATTTATAAATTTATTTTAGAAAATGTCATTCTTAATAGAATTTCCTGCTCGTTCATGAACAGTGCAGTAATTTTTATAGAAAGAACAAGGAGGAAATTATAAAGAACAGTGTTTTCTTGCAGATGTATGAATAGAAAATTTTTTCCTCTAAATGAAAAAATGTTTTATACCTCATCATAGAGGGTGTAATTTTATGTGGTGGTCAGTGTTCTCCAGAATACTATGATTTTTAAATCAAATCGATATCGAGTTTTAAACTGCACTTAAACTGTTGTCTATGCCGTCACTGGGCAGCGCCCAAACTCAGCTATTTGTGTGGGCTTATCAGTATTGTCCGTTATTATCTTTTGACACCAACTATATGAAACTAACAGAGTGACAGAGAGCCAAACTGTAATGGAAAAGAATTTTGTCATATCGCGTTTGTATGACTTTGCGACGAGTTATTTTAAAGTCACCATATTTTTTGATATCAAACGCGATGAAGTGCCAAACAATAAAAAAATAAAAAATGTTTTACATTGTTTATTAAATATTAACTAACACTATTAGGTGGATAGGCATAAAAATAATTATTTTTGCCGTTTTATAAAATGTACATAATGAAAAATAAATAATAATACTAACCTAACTTATATGAACTACCTATTTTGAAAAATTATTTTATTTGATTAAACATTCGTTTCTACTTTTTTAAAGCGCTTTGTTTAGTTTGTGAATCTTAATCTACCTGATGTGATATGACATTATGTTAAACCGGTGAAAAACAAACGAATAACATAAATTTGATGAAACGAGTTTGCTTATATTAATATCGAAATTGACTTTGTATAGTGCCAGTTTTGTTACATTAAATTTTGGTATTTGATGAAGTGTCTTGTACAATGTATCTGTATAACCTTATTTTTTTTTCCGTGTTTAGAGATGGTACCATGTGTTTATGTATCTTCATTGTTAAATTTTTGTGTGATAATATGATGAAACATGAGAGATAAGATTTTACAGCAATGCATGCCGTAGCTCCCAATTTGAGGAAACAAACTTATGATGTGTTTGTTAAGGTCAAAGATGAGTTACGTTAAAAATCTGACCCCCATTCAAAATTACACCCTATATATACGTAACACTTTTAACTTAATAATAAGAGAACACAAATGTTTTTCTGTAATATTAGGCCGATTCCATCTCAAATCATGCAGAGCTCCATGTGGACCCGTCACCAAGCTACTCCAATATATTTTTTTATTTTTCTAGGTCAAAAATAACAGGACCCCTATTTTTTCTTTTTCCTCTCAGGCGCATGGTTCCGTCTATTATGTACTCGGAAAATACATTGCCGAAAAGAAAAATTTTCCATTTGCATTTTGATTGCTTGTTAATTTTTTTATTTTTTGACAGGATAAAATAATTCTTATTTTACCTGATAGAGGGAATGGCGCCCTCTAATCTACCTTTGCAAAAATGTGAATAAATGCATCGTTCGTCAGAAAATGCATTTTTTCAAAAAAGTGCATTTCGAAAAAAAATGGTTTTTCTCAAAAAGGCCATATTTTTTTGCTCTCAATTTTTTTTTTGGAGATTCTTAGTATCAATACCTACAAATCTATCTTTATGAAATTTGGGTTTTGCTTTTTATTGCAAAAAATTTTAAAATAAAAAAACTACGATAACATGTAAATAAAATAAAACATTCATTTCTATTCAATTATACACAGGGTGTCGCGCTTAAATGTAATACAAGCCTGTAACTTTTTTATTTTTTGACCGAGAATGTAGGGTAAAAAAATTCTATCTAACTGTGATACTGATGTTTTATTAATGCAATACACGGCCAACTAGGACGCGTTTTTTTTACGTCAAAACAGCTTATTGGTATTAGCGATTTTTTTTCCAAAAAACAGATTACGTATTCTCGTTCAGCATCCCTTAAACTGTCTTTTCACCAAGTTTCATCAAATTCGATCAGGTAAAATAAGAATTGTTTTATCGTGTCAAAAAATAAAAATAATAAGCAATCAAAATGCAATCGTAAATTTTTTTTTAATTTTTCTTTTCGGCGATGCATTTTCTGATTACTTAACAGACGGAACTATGCGCCTGAGAGGAAAAAGAAAAAATAGGGGTCCCCTTATTTTTAACGTAGAAAAATAAAAAAATATTTTGGGGTAACTTGGTGACAGGTCCACATGGAGCTCTGCATGATTCGAGATGGAATCGGCAGTTAGTTAAATTTCGTGAACAAGCCAGGGCAAGCAAAGCTCTTTCATTTTGTTCTTGTACTTGGACGGTGTCTGTTCCGAATATTTCAAGAATGGTAAAAATGAAATGCCAGAAGCTTCAAAAGATAGAGATAATCGATTAGACAAGTTAAATTTGAATTCTTTGAAAAATTTAATGGAATTAAAAAAATGATGAAGCAGAGTGTAACAACTAAACTAAATGATGGTACTGGTTAGGAAGCCGTTTATATTATAAAATGTGTATACAGCACCTGTTACTGAAAGAAAAAAATGATGCTCTCTCTCTTTTACCACCTTGCTTTTATCACATAGTCAGCCGATGTTCTCACTCTATTTGTTTTTAAATAATACTCACCAATGCTACTTTCCTCAACGAACTAAGATCCCTTATTTGTGTTATCTACCAGAACGTGTAAAATAAATGAAATCATTGCATCTTTAAACAAAAGAGCAAAATTTTGTGAACATTACAAAATTCTAAAAAAATTATTTTTTTTGTGTATTGCATTTTTGGAAAGTTGAGAGAGTTCCTCGAGGAAAGTAACAAGAGAAGTCTACCATGCATATTTATTATAATAACCACTGCATGATCTAAGAAACTCCTACGAATGCATGGGTAGCAAATCAAACCATGCTCAACATGACTGGTAAAAAATATGAAGAGTAAATAGTAAAAATTTTGCAATTGTAATAAAACACCATCAAATCTAAATATACAAAAAAACAAACCGTGAAGAACTCACAAAATGTTAATAGTTCGCAACTATGTGAAATGTCAATCTCAAATCAGTCTAATTTTAACAGCTACACAGCGACATACCTGGCATTTGGGTGGAGGGCGTGGGGGCGCTGTTAGTACGTTGCAGTCTCAGGTACTGATTGTTGAAGGCAGAGTTCGGCGAGCTCGGGGGCGGGAACTGATCTGCCGGGTAGGGGGAGTGCCGTGTGGGGACCGTCCCTGGACTGTTTATGGATCGTTGCTGTTGAGGTGGTCTCTGAAAATTTCGACCATTAGGCCCTCCTGATATAAAGTTGCCCTATAATATATATAAAGTGTGTGTTAGGAGAAGTGTATGATCGAGAAGACGGCCACTGATGATGATTCTTACTCGCTGGATGAGGATGAGTGAAAATCCGGGCTGCGTGTGCGATAATTTTGTAGTGCTTTTTTTGTCATAGGTCAAAAGTTATATATTGAGCTGGTGCAAGTTAAATTTAGAAAATTATTTGGAAACGTTGCAATAATTTATATTTGTATCGAGTAACGTTAAAGTTAAGCTTTTACTTTTTTTTTGATTTAGCAGTCTGCTGCCTATCTAAATTTTGGTTTATTTCCAAGGTGACTGATTTTAATAACCGCATCCTCATAAACAAGATAAAGTTTTCACCGATTCACGACATTCAGTTGTAAACAAAAACAATCGGAAATATTTTTATTAATCAAATTAGAAAAAATTATGGAACCTCTATCAAAGTAAATACATATTATTTTAAAAAATAAATAAGATGCTATAAAATTAAAGCAGTTTTCGTTAAAAAATGACAGAATATATAGACATGGTAAATAATATAATTCCATTTTGTTAAAATTTGCTCATTCTTTTCGTAATAACATGTGGCACCAGTATTTATAACAAATTTTTACTCCACTTTGTATTATTTTCTTTTGTGTCCAGGTCAACTAATGGACAAATTACACATAAGTTAATAGTCTTTCCGATATCAATTGAAGAACCAAGAGGATGACAGTCTGTCATTGAAATATTTGAAAAACTTGTTCCCATATTTATTTAGCCATACCAATATACAGGTCTGGTCGAACTGAACGTGGAGGTGGTAGAAATGTATACGCCCAGATGAAGAATGCGAGCGCGGGCAAACGAAATACAAATACAGCAGCATTGGGCTACTGGGCAATAAAACTCGGCCGTTGACAAGTGTTTGACAAATTGCCCAGCAGTGCAGTGCAGCAATGCGGAATTTGGTGTGATTCAGGTAATTTTAATTTTTTATAGGCACCTTCTATTAATCATTGATATTACAATTGCGAAAGGGAGAAATAATATTATTACAACATGGCATTTTCGAGACCTTTTGAAACGGAACAAAACGAAATTTACCATCAATATAAAAAATTGTTTGGGAACATAAATAATTAAAATATGTTGTCGGCCAAAAGAACATATAATAAACATTTTCTGCACATTATATACAAATTATTATAATTTTTTTACCTTTATCAGAAAACTTTTTTAGGCACGCCTATGAAACTCATTAAATTTGATTGCCAGGCGTTTTTATACATGTTCAACTGACTTCGGAAAGACTATAACATCAAGAATGAGTAAAAAAAATAACCAGTAATATTTATGAGTTTTATTGTATAAATTTGCCAAACATCAATTAATTTAAAATTTTGTCTAAAAAATACCCTAATAAATTTTATACAATATAAATTGTGTCAGTATTAAAATTTTTTCAAAATGATAATATTTTCAATCTAATTCGTAATTAACATATCATAGGTATAAATTTACAGGGATAAATGTAAAAGTACATTACAGAACTTTATGCTTTTGCATTATTTAGAAATTTTTGGAATTAATATATATACAGAGTGATCAATATTCCTTGAAAAATCAAGTTTTTCTTTAAAACAACTGAAGTAAATTCTAAAAATAGTATTATATTTTCAGTGACTGTCACTCAAATGTGGGATAAAAAATTTAGTTGTATACTTACACCTCTTGGAAGAAATAGCCCTACTTTGATGCCGCTGGAAAGAACTTTATTTGGGTTTTTCTAGTTAGCATATTTTTTTTTCAAATGTTCTGAAGATATTAACAATTGAAATTCACTTCTGTGAAATTCTCAGCACCGAATATGAAAAAATTGATGCAGTCAAAGAAAAGTGTATCGAAATTATTTTCTTCAAAAAAATTCATAAATTTTATTCAATCTCAAAAATAACTTCTAAAATTCTTTTGCATAAAAAAATTAAGATTTTTGTTTTGGCAATATTTCGAGAAGAAATAAACACAGAAAAGCAAATATTCCCAATTTTCGAATTTCCTATCAATTTATAGTTTAAAAAATGTCCGACAAATAATCGCATCCACCTTAGCTTTTATCAATAAATAAATATTACTGAACATGTTATTATTTAGTATGTTACCTCAATTTAATTAGAATTCTAAGTTTATCAAATTATTATTATTACAGAAGCCAAAATTATACTATTTATGGAATTAAATGTATCGTAATGAAAATAATCTAACGAAAAATGAGAAAATTAAATTTTCTGGGAATATTCATAAACAGAAATCTTACCTTCCTTAATTCAAATATACACCTGCCTAACTCCATCCGTTTTTTATATATCAAGGCTAAAAATTTTGGAAAAGTGATTGTCAACTGTTGATATCTTGAAAACAATTGAAAGTAGAAAAACTATAGCTAAAAATTGTTACAAATGACATCGAGACAAGTATTCTTGGGAGTGGTGTGAATATAACAAAAATTTTCAAATCCTATATTTAATTGAAAATCACTGAAAGTATGACACCACTTTCAGAATTTAATTTACCTTTAGTCATTTTCATATTTCCCAAGACATATCACCCTGTACATTACACAAAAATGTTCTGATTAAAATTTTTATTTTTCAATTATTTTTCTGGCCTTTGATTTATTAATATCTCACTTTAATTTTATTTGGAAATAAACAAAATAGATTAAATTTTTTCGTCAAACAAATTCAAACTTCGCGTCTCACACTAATGCTGATAGTAATTCTGGACGTCGGGTCGATACCAGTTATGGTAATAATAGTTTTGGACGAAATACCGCTCTAGGTCTGCGTATGTGTGATAACTGATGAACGGACTGTGATCATATGGACTACTTACGGTAAGTTGCGCACTGAGCATCGGGTTCTGTTGCACGGTTAACCTGGCCTGAGTTTGCTGCCAGTTGGCCGTGCTCTGCGTGTTCCCCTGAGGGTAGGCCTGCCTCGGCGACAGTTGCGGGTTAAATTGCGCCTGAGGCGACAGCCTAGCGCCCGGATTCTGGTAGTTCCCCACCGTGGTCTGTGTGAAACTCTGCTGGCCTAGTGGCGACGTCAGTTGGGAGTGAGGCGAGTAGGGCTGTTGGTTGCCGACCCGCTGGTTCTGCTGGTTAATCTGTCCCCCATATCCCGGAGACAGCTGCGGTTCCGGCACGCTAGCGGAACGCTGTAAAGATACATTGGGAGCGACTGTGTTATTCAGGAGGCTCTCGATGTTCTGCATGGAGGGGTTCATCTCGCTGGCGGCCGCGTTGGACGGAATCAGCAGCTGTTGTTGTTTCTGCTGCTGGAGCAGGCGACGTTTCTGTTCCTGTTGGTGCAACAGCTGCTTCCTCTGGTGCTGTAGAATCAGCTGGTTGTTGATGTTGGCGGGGTACTGCGGCTGCCCTGGTCTCACTTGCATGCGCTGGAACTTGGACTGGGAGTAGTTCGGTGGTGGTGGGAAAACACCAGACTGGTTCTGGCTTACCTGCAGAGAAATAAAAAAAAAGTTAGATTGTAGAAATACGCTTGTTAATACAAATAGGCCCTTGATTAAGGGAAAAAATTTATCCCCATTACTCGAGTGCAGAGTTTTAAGTATGTTACGCTCAAGTTTGGATGGAACAGGTTAATGGCTAATTTAAACCTTTTTTTTTAAATTCCAGGCAGAACCGTAATAATTACATTATTTGTTTAGTAAAATGTTGTCACTTTAATATAAGTTTTTAATTGTTTTTAATTTTAAGTAAAGAAATATATTCATTAGTATTATATGACGCAAAAATTCATTTTTTCAACTGCAGTAATTTTAGAGAAAAGTTAAAAGAAAAAGTTATTTTTAACTCCCTGTAGAAGCTTAGATGAAAAAATTTTATATCAAATATCCCTCCCATAAAATAAAAAGATTATACCAATTGGCAGATCAGTAAATTTAAGATAAATAACAATTAATTAGAAGAAATCATTTTTGTACTTACGCTTGTAGCAGAATAGGCTGGAGGCGTTCCAGGCATAGAAATGGGAGAGGCTGGGCTCTTCACAGCAGACTCGCACTGCATGAGAGACTTCTGTATAATATTAATGGCCATAGTCTCGCTTAACCCGGTCTGGAAGTTATTGGGTTGCTGTCCCTCAGACCCACTCAAGAGCTGCATAATATCATCCGGCACAATATCAATCACCTGATCCAGGATATCGGAGAGAAGCGGATCGTTAGAAGTCTGCAGATTATTGTTATCCCAGCCGGAGTTGTTGTTGTCTGTGCTGGAGGTGGCGGGGGAAGTGTAACATACGGAATTGATCTGGTTAATCTGTCGATTTTCGTTTCGTTGCATATTATTGGACAATACAGCACTGAGGTAGTTTGTGTTTTGAGAACGACCAGACATTCTGCTAGCGTTCATCCTGGATGTGTTCAGGATGTTGTGTTGCATGTTCTGATTCATCATGTTCATTTGTAAGGTCTTGTTGGGATCCGTGATCTTAGGCAGTTTTTCTTGAGGTGTCGCCGATATCACACTTGCGGGTATCGGCGGGATCGGTTGGTGGTTCGTTGGCTGCTTGGCCAGCAGCGAAGCCAACATTTTGTTTTTCTCGCACAACTTGCTACCTGTGGAGCCAGAGGAGGTGACCTGAAACAACATTACGAAACAAATCCAGAATTATTTTAATAAAGTGTTGCCTATTATAGATTCTGATTTAAGTATGTATATTTCAGGATACAAGAGTTATGCAAATAGCTCTGAGGAGGTAAAGGAAAAAATTCATAATTATATTTCAATTAAAAAAATTATTTTTAATCAAAATTATTTTCAAGTTATCAACTTTTTAATTTAAACTAAGTTTGCCAAGCAGTCAAATAAGTCAACAGATGTTCTGCAACTACTCATTTCATAGGAAAAAATGTGTATGAATTATTTGTTAAAAATGCGATTTAAATAGCCGTAGAAATTTTAATTAGGAGCAATGCTTTTTTACTTTTATTATGCCTCACATTTACATTTATAATTCTTATAAACTTTTCTGTGAATGCAATATGCATTCAAATTATTCAACCGTTTAGGTACATTATTTGAGAAAAAAATATACACATTATTCAAAAATGCCGGATAAAATAGAAGAGATTTTATTTCGTCTCTTGGAGGTTGTTAATTAATAAGTATTTATTAAAGTTTGGCTCTTAAAACAAATTTTTTAAACAACTGTATGTTGCCGCGTCAAATTGTGACGTCATTTAGTGCGATCGAGAATCAAGAACATGAATGAGAGGGACAGGAATGCTCGATCTCATAGTAAGTAACAAGAATCTTGAGGCAGTTACATTCACTTTGCTTCAAGGCTCTCCACATGGTTGGCAAGGGAATTGAAGACTAGACGGCAAACGGACGAAAAGTAGGCCGTGTTCTCGGTCGCACTAAATGACGTCACTATGCATTTTTATCACGTGAAGAAACTTTAGTTTTTACATAATTTTAAACATCTATAATTAATTTGTGGCATTAAAGGAATTTATTTTTTTACACTATTAGTTGTTTGTTATGGACTACAAATTTATGCAATTATGAAAAGAAATTATCATGCAAGTTGTGCGGTTCTTAGCATATGTGACTCCTAGTATTTTTACCACTGACATATTTGTATACCAAATTTAATGAATTTATAACTTGACCTCAACTTTAATTATTATTAGCTTAAATTTCATCAAACTACACCTTCAGACAGATTTGCTGCACCTCTATTCTATATAAAAACCGTTTATAAAACGTAAATAATTATTAGTTAATAACTCACCTGGGACCCATCAGCTGATCGCTTATTTGGGTTGTCATCTTTATCGTCACTCAATCTCTTCTTACCCCTATCTCCGACGGGAGAACAAGGTGGAAAGCCTAAACTCCTAAGCAGTGAATCGTCTTGAGACTGAAGATCATTCTTCTTGTCTTCTTCGATATCTCGTTCGGGCTTCAGCAGCTGCTGAAGTAGTTCGCTCTTCTTCTTAACGCCAGCCTTCGACTCGAGATCATCATCGTCACTTTTATCATTAAGAAGCTGGAAAACAAAAATTTTCTGTTATAACAAACAACAGAAATTGAAAATCGCACATGCTCACAATTTATTTTAAAAGTATTTTAAAATAATTGAGTATGCATCCACCAATAAAAAAAAAAATAAATTGATTTTTTTTTACATGATTTGAGACTTTTTTAAGGGGTAACCCAACTATGATGCTAACGCAACTGAGATGAGTTTGTAAAAAAATATGTGTCGCAACAAACTGACCTGTTTCGGAATGGAAACTTTTTTTTTAACCACCCGGTATATAAGGGGTGTCCCGATTTATAGGCGTACTGGCCCTTAACATAATAAGTAAAAATTAAATGCAATTTAAATATATTTTTTTAATGAATAGTTCTTGAGAACATGCGTAATATATAGAAATTATAAAAATCTTAATAAGTCTGCCACGATTTTTTTAAAGCGCCAAAACTGAATTGGCGACATTTTTTTAATGAAATCTGATAACAATTTCTATTTCATTTTTTAATTTGCAGTTAAGGTTTACATTTCAATAATTTTATTCATTTTCTCAATTAATGTCAAAAATAGCGCAATTTGCACATTTTCATGAAAAAAATATTTTCGATTAAAAAAAATCGTAATAAGTAGCCAATGTGATATAAAAATTGTAAAAAAAATATTTCAGTTCATTTGTATTTTAATTATTACTCCTATAAATTGGTACACTGGTATATTTTTATTATTTTTTTTTATAATTTAAAGTTAGATAACAAATATCTCAAACTAATTAATAAATTATTGTATAGTACAGACATATTTCAATAATATAAATAAAATTAAGCAATACTGGAATTTTTCATCTTTAACGTAACGTAACACATTTCGCAACATAAAAAAAATTAAATATAAAATTTGCAAAATCACCTTTTATAGGATAATAAAAATACCGAACACATTATCTCTGTACTAATAAAACTGCTACCGGGTACAATCAATTGAATACGTCTATTGTCCACATTTTTATCGAGCTTTCATCACAACTACTGTAAGGAAAAATCATACCTATTTGAAAATGAAAATGAATTGAATTTACGAAATGGTAATAGGAATAGGTATCAGTATTTTAAATCATGGAGGATCCAACGAGCTATGTGAAAAACAGTAGATAACACATGTGAAAAACACAAGATAATCCAGTAAAACAACGATAAGGCTACTTATTATAACAAAAGTAACTTTATAATAAAGAGTATTTACCTTGATTCCCATGTTTCTCAGCGAAATAAAAAAACGGCTACAAAAATTCACACCGCACAGATAAAAATCACCTCCACCAGTTGAATCTGTTTAACAACCAACCCAAACTAAACTAAACTGACGATTGTGACGAATCCGCAGATACTAGGTAAGCTATACAACACACTTATCATTTTGAGGAACTGCCAACCGAGAAAAAGTAATGTATCTGATAAAATTTGTACTTGAAACGATAGCGGGGAAAGAGACGGATTGTGAAGGAAGGGAAAAGTTCGGGTTTATTTTCTATTGTATTTAAGCGAACTGGCGGGGTTGCTTCCCTACAACTAGAGGGTGAAAAGATGAGGTGGGAGAGGATGGGGCAGAGCAGGTATAGCAGCCCCTAATCTCTGCGTGCAGCAACAAGTAAGATTTTGGGTACTTGTTGATTTGTCACCAGGGACGTCCCTTAAGGGTCTCAGAACATTACTAAGAATATATATTTTGTATTGCTTTCTATGGATATAAGTATCACTGTGTTTACATTTTAATAATTTTTCTAATTTTTCGTTTAATGAAATTACATTACATAAATTAAGTAATTTCTTCACCAAAAATATAAAAAATGTTTTTAAGAAATTAACATTTTCTTTGCATTGTGAAAAAATAATTCGTACGCCCCTGCTATTTCTACGTATTTTAAAATTATTTCTATGACAAAAAATACTTCGCCCTTCGCTCAGAAAAAAGGTATGAAGTCACATCTTCATAGGTCTTTATGATATTGTTATAAAAGTGTATTTGTAATTTTCTACAATAATTGCTTTATTGATGGGCAAGGGCATTTTTCTTAACAGACTAGAGAAAATACTTAGAATAATTTATTACGACAGAAAGTACTTTTTTGGTCATATAAAAATCACCGAAATCTTGTGGATTTCGAATGAATGCAAAATATTTGGTAAATCCATAGTATTATATCTATTTATAAACATTACATTGTAACTATATTACAGACAAATATAAATATTGATAAACATCAGTAGGATTATTTACTTTCGGACAAAGTTCCACTAAAATTTTAAGTTTATAAAATGTTATCGTAAGAAATTAGCTTATTTTGAATTTAAGAATTTATTTAACTAACTGCGAGAGTGATAAGAGGAGCAATACCGTTAGGTGAACGTATATTGAAAAACTGAGATGGTTAAAATAATATGTATAATTATATTTAGTCAAGTCTTTGTGTAACTTATCACTTATATTTGATGATTTCTCATTTAGGTATATGATGTTATCTTGTTAGATAACATGGCACTGAACTTTTATCGATATTCATTCCTTTCAACTTAATATTTTGATATTGCCCTAAGATTAGGACAAAGTCGTTAGGAAAATTACTAACTAATTATTATTTTAAACAGAACTTTCTCCGCAATCAAAATAAAGAAATGTTATGTTACGACCAAGAACAGTGGGCACACTGCAAACATTGCCAGTCCTGCTATCGTACCACTTTTGTTATATCTTCAACGAAGTATAATACGGTGATATCTTACAAGAATTAACGTCATTTAGGTGCGTGCGTAAGTGCTTACTTATCTTAAAATCAATTTTATAGTACCGAACCGAAAGAGAATATACCTATCGAAATCGAAGCAAAAACTCGATTAGATATTTTTCGCAATGGACGACTGCGAATAGCACCCACAATTTTGAAATTGTTTTACAAACGCCAAACCAGTGAAAATCAAACGGCAACGGTTTCATCGCGGAACTGTCAAATCTGCAATTTCGTTTGTTTATCTGCTACAAAACTGGAAGTAATTTTTTGTTCATAATTAAATGGTTAGCTATACAGTAAAATCTCGCTGTTACAAGATTGCAAAATACATGTTTACAAAGCAGCTGCACATTTAAGTATACTCAGGGTGGCTCATGAAATATGCCGATACTATCGGCATTAGCAGCATTAAAAAGAGGCAAATTATTACTCAAATTATTATAATATGTAACAGAAAATAATACGTAAAAATTTGTAGGCAGGCGTCGACCCATACTTGACTCATCTGATAGTTTCGCGTTTAGCTTATGAAGTCAGTGCTATCACCTTTTATACATATGGTTCTCTATTACTTTGATCGCAGATTCCATGCTTTGGTTGCCAAAACCCGATACATCATGTGATGATTATTATTATTATGGTTACGCTTACGCAACCAACGTTGCACGGCTGGTTAACTAAAATTCCCTAAATCTTAAAGTCACCAATATTAATTATTCGTTTACAATGAACAATGACAAACTGTTACGTCTACGCTCAAGGTAATGCGATCGCTGATTGTTTGAATAAAATCTCATGAAAAATGACCAAGCTGGTAAAACAGAATCTTGTGTTTTGACGTTTTTATAATTTTTAATTTTACCGAAATTACTGGCCACGTGATCGTTTATGAAGGCTCTATTTTATGACAAGAATTATTTAGCATGACATGTAATAAAACTGGTGACATCCGGTTATATCACCAACAGTATACGTCACTTTACGTGTTTTGTATAAAAGCAAACTTGCGGTGGGTATTATCGACTTGTATGATACTGAATTGAATCAAATTTTAGGAATGTGGTTTTCTGTTTTCCTGAAGATATGAATTTTATGCGATTTTTGACTCACGATTCCACGTTCGAATTCCTATTGTTCTTATCAAACAGCATTGCGTATTTAAAGAAACAGTAGTCTGATTTCAGTATTTCTTGTTTCACGAAGTCTACAAAATAAACTTCCAAGCCCGCGTGGACCATCCTGTACATATTCAAAACAAAAAACAAAAACGAATAAAAAGCAATTCTGAACGAATTCCATAAAAAACAATTATGTAAGTCGACGCATTTACAAAATTGCAATCAACATTGCATCATACTTTGTTAATATATTTTCCAATTATATTACTGGAATTATTTTGGTGTTCTCAGAAAGGGGAAGGTCGTTAATCGACAACAATGGGAACGAACAAATTTGTTTTTATCTAAACTGACGATCTCATTATTTTTGATAATTTATTAATAGGTGACATCCAAAAATAACCAAACAGACAGTAATCATATTTATGCATTTCAGTTTATTTGGATGCACGTTACCGTTTATTTAACGGATTGTGTTTAATTCATGAAACAAATAATTGGATACTAATAAGTTACTTGTTATTGGAAAAAAATATCTGTCAGTATAATTGAAGAGTAAGGTATCGCTTAAAAGGCCTTTAGCAAAAAAAAATAAGCCGATATATTTACAAATCCTCTATATTGGTATAGGTCATAAACACACATGATCCGTCCTAGGTCAAATAACAAAAATATTTTCTAACGAGGCAAAATTAAAATCAGGCCTTTAAAAATACCACTATACAATAACATCATAATTAATAGCATTTTTAAACAAATTTATGTAGAATTCTTAGAAAAGTATCCATTCGACGTATATTAACATTCACACTCATAAAATATTTAGTTTTTTTTTTAGTAACATAAAAGTTATGAACACGAATAGCGTCTTCCTTATTAGATTCATAAACTGAATATTTATTTTATTTTAAATTTAAATCTGTAAATGTTGTACCTATATGGAATCGTAAATTAAAATTGAAAAAAGTATATTAAAATTCATACGAAATGAATAAAAACTGTTTGTACTTTTTTTTTTAATAAAAATTCTAGTTTCATATATTTACCCATACGAACCGTACCACAAAAAATCGTTTTGTACTAGCAAACTCCAATAGATAAATACAATGACG